ACCCTGCAAGCCTGAGAGGGACCTTTTTTACCCATTTACATGGGATATTTCCTCCCATGTCGAAGTGGGAGGGCTGCAGTGGTGACATGTTGAAGCAGCATTTCCAGGCACGCAGCAGGGAGCCGGGGGACAGCACAGAGACAGCAGCTGTGCCCCGTGATGAATGCAGAGCCAGCAGCACACAGTTCACCCCTGTGGGCCCCAGTGACTCACCCCGGTGGAATGGCACCAACCCCAGCCATCCCTGGTGCTCAGAGGCTCACAGGACCCTCATACCTGCAGAGCTGAGCTCCTTCTGCACCCACAAAGAGCTCTGAAATCTCCTCCAGGTGCAGCTGAGCCCTTTGCTGCTGCAGTCTCCCTCCCAGCTCCATGCAGTGCCATGCACATACATCCGAGCCATGGGGAGCTGCAGGCTGCCTGGTGATGCTCTCACCAATGACTGCTCCTGTGCTTCCCAGGCTCAAACCTCAGCACCCACAGGGCCCGGTGACTCAGTTTTTTTTTTTTCCCTCTACACCATCACCATCTGCCCTTGAGAAGCCTGGAGCCAGCTCTGTGTTTCCAGCTACAGCCCTGGGGTCAGGGCTGGAGGGGGCAGGGGAGCAGCTCTGACCCTACATGGCCGGTGGGCAAAGGGAGGGATTGGGATTTTTCTCTCTTGAGAAAGATGTAATTGAGAAGGGTTTCCAAGCGCCAGCGGTCTTATCAGCACCGATCAGGTCTTGTGGTCAGGCAGGAAGAAGTGGGACAGCTCAGGTCAATTTTTTACCAGGCGGGGCTCTCTGTGTTTTTCTATCCCATTTCTGCTCCACAAGGGCTGCAGGCAGCACAGATCCAAGGCAAGCAGCTTTCTCCCAGGGCTTGGCAAGCAGTGCCAACCCCAACACCTCCTTGCCTTCCCCACATCCCCGCTGCTCACCCCGCAGGTAGAGCCGGTTGCTGATTAACCTGCCCGTACCCTGCAGCCCCCGCTGACTCCCCGCTGAATCACCCTGCAAAAAGGGCTCAGCCCCTCACACAGTACCCAAAGCCAGAGCTGTGCTCCGGGCATATCCTTTCCCTGCGGATTTGCTGTGGCTGGGAAGGGTGGGAAGCAAAGGGAAGGGCGAGGTGTGGGAGCTGCACAAGGATGCTATCCGTGGTGGGGTGGGAGCAGGGATTGGGGGATGCCCCCAGCACTGTGCACACAGCTGAACTGACTCCATCACCTCTCAGATGGAGATGTCCCATCACAGGTATGTGCTGAGTTCCATGCAGGATGTTCCTCGTAGCTAACACAGCACCATGCCTCAGTTTCTCCCTTCCCCCACATTCACGTGGCCCGATTGCCCTACAACAGCACGCACTCAGCACTGCCCCATCCGCAGCCCTGGACCACCCCAAGGTCCTGGGCAAACACACAGTGCTGAGTTCCCCGAGCATTGCTGGGATGCAGCCATATGGCCACGGGGCTGCTACGTGCCCGGGGCAGACCTGCCCTTCCTGATTATCTTCCCAGCTCTCATTGCTAATACGCTGCCTGCTCCGTCTCATTCCAGCGTGGGAATGAATCATCCTACCTTTGAGTGTTCGCTCGCATTTTCCCTTCCTACCCAGAAACAAAGAGCTGAGAACAGTGATGATGTTCCCACCACACTGCTCTCCCCCCGAATCACACGCACAGAGATGCAGCATGTCCTTATCCCCTCCGTGGGGATCCCAAGCACAGGGCTCACCCCTGAGCTGCCCTGCTGTGGATCCTGGTGCACCTTTGGCCCTGGGATGGGTGGGAATGCAGCCTGTGGGGCAGGATGTGCTGGTACTTGCCTTCCCAGGGATGTACTGCAGGATTTTGTCTGTCGTTGTATCCCTCTCCCCATCGCCGTCTATGCCGAAGAAGCTGGGCAGCTTTTTCTTGCCATTTTGCCTATGGGGCAGGGGGAGAAATGGCACAGATCTGAGCTGATGCAGAGCGAGTTCTGCTCAGAAAAAAAAAAAGGGAACTTGGAAAGCTCTGTGAGCAGTTTGCTGTGGGCTTTCTAATCATCCCAGCCCAGCACTGGGCTGATAACTGCCTGGGATGATTACAGCGGGTTTCGTGCTGCACCTGTTGGTGTTTCTTTGTTTTATTTTCCATTTCTTCACATCACCAAATGTTCTCAGCTGAGCCTGGGAGCAGCGATGTCCTATTGCAATGTGCCACCTCCAGCCCCACTGTGAGACCCTCAGGGCAGAGCTGCATGTGTGCACACACACACACACGCATGCATGCACGCACACCACTGGGTGTTATGGGGTCTCTGTGGTTTTCCTCTCTTCCCTTCCACCCCCAGCAGAGCTCCCCTGATACAGCACACAAGGAGCCCCATTTGGGGCTGCAGTACCACCCCGCAGAGGTGTTTGCATCCCATGGGGGCACAGCAGGGCTCAGGCTGAGTGCCAGGGTTTGGGGTTTTCCTTCTAAAAGGGATAGGGATGGGTGGGATGGGTACACTGGGTTAGGGTGGGGGTGAGAGTTAGGGATTAGGTTTGGTTAAGGTTACCGTTAGGATTATGGCCAGTAACCCTATGGTTAGGGTTACCATTGGGGTTATGGTTAGGGTTATGGTTAAGGTTAGGGTTAGGGTTAGGGTTAGGGTTACGGTTAGGGTTATGGTTAGGGTTATGGTTAGGGTTATGGTTAGGGTTAGGGTTACGGTTAGGGTTACGGTTAGGCTTAGGGTTATGGTTAGAGTTAGGGCAGCACAAATAAAATGCAAAACAAAGGAATGTTGAGCGCTCAGCTCTGTGCCCCACGGTGGGGAGGTGATATTTCCCAACTCCAGTGAAATAAATCATGCTGTTCCTCAGGGCAATGTGGCTGCAGCATTCCGGCACAGCACTACGATCTCTCCCCAGGCGCCTGCAGCTGCCGTGGCACCACTCAAAACCCCACAAAACTCCCATTGCTGGTGGAACACTCTTTGGGATTCCCAAGAAGAACTCAGCACCGACCCCATTCCCAATGAAAGCACTCGTACTCACTCTTTCTTCAGCGAAGGTTTCCTCCTAAAGGAGTGCCGGAACCCCCCAGGCGCCTGCGGGACGCACGCGATGTTCCCCATTCCAGCAGCCCAGGAGAACTGGGAGCACTGGGAGCAGAAGCAGTGCGTGTGTCACGCAGCCATGCCCCGCTTCCGTCTGTCGGCACTGACTTGTGGGTGTGAGCCGGCAGCAAACAGACTTTTGGCCCAGGGCTCTCACCGGCTGCTTCTCCTCCGCCCCGTGTAGGGCCGGGACGTTTGGGGAGGGGCTGCGTCCCAGGGCTGAGCCCAGTTCACTGCATAGGATAGGGTTGAAGAAATGCCCTGGGAGCATTTTTCTTACTGGGAGTCAATGGTCAGCAAAAGTGAAAGGGATGAGGAAAGAGATGGTAACGACACGGAGTCGCTAATGATGATATGAAAGGTGGATGCAGAATGAATATTCCTGTCCTGCGGATTGAAAAAAATAAAAAAATAAAGCTGGGCTGGGTGGTGACAGCAAATGGGGAAACTCCATAGTGTTATGAATCAAACCCAAAGCATGCAGAGAGCTCGCATTCTGAGAGTTCTGCAAGGAGAGTTCTGCAAGGGTTGGGGCTGTTTACTTGCAGGAGCAGCATTTGGCATGGAAGGGGTTAATGGGGATAGTGCTATCTTGGTGGGTGAAGAAGACCCCCCTGGCAGTGAGGGGGTTTGCAGGGTGCAGGTTTCATCCCTGCAAAAAGAGTCACAGACCTGCAGCAACCTGGCAGAGCAGCAGCAAAGGCTGATGCTGAGAAAAGCAATTTAAGCCCAAAGCAGTGTGTGTGTTTTTAATGGGAAAGTTCGTTCCATGCTGGAACACCTCCCAGATTATGATGGATTCTCTGACATGGGGTTTTAAGACCGGGAGAGGATGTTTTGCTTGCAGGGATGTTTGAACCATGCTGGGATTGGCTCTGTGAAGCCGTAGGGACACGCAGGGGTTGTTGGACTCCGTTTGCACCCACCTTGTGCTGGAGCTGAACAAGAGCAGCACATCCCACAGCACCAATCCCACAGCTGGGGAGGGGGCTGCTAAGAACAGAACATCTGCCAAAGGCTCCTGCACCTTCCACTTTTAAACCAGCCCCTTCTCCCACTCCTTGTATAACTCATTAACCCTTTGTGGCCAGGTAAATGGGGGGGACGCCCCCCACCCCCTGCGGGAGCCCCATATATCTTATGGCCGGGCATTTCTGCACTCCCTGCACAGCCAAGTCCTGGCAACTCTTGGCAGCCACCGAAGCTCACAGCCAATGGCAACAACTGGGATTTGGTCAGGAAAGGTCCGATTTCTGCTAAGAGCCGTGGCTAACACGCTCAGCACCGTGACCAGAAACGTGCTGTTCCTCCGGCGTGTTTGCTGGGCTCCAGACCTCGGAAAGACTTTTACAGTTATTTATAGAAGCCCGAGAGAGAGAAGCAGGAGCCTGGGGAGCAGACAGAAAGAGGACACGGCCGGGCAGCAGTCAAGCCAGTGTGACAGCACGGGGCTCTGCTGCAGGGCTGGGAGTGTGTGTGCATGGGAAAGTCCCCCCTCGGGCCCCACGGATGCGGTTACCCCTTGCCATGCAGCTCCATGCTGCCCTTTTCACCCCCTGCTCCCATGAAAGGGGTCTGGCACTCCCCCCAGCCAGCAGTGAGTGGCAGCAGCTCATGAAGGCAGATCCGAGCCCTCTCCTCTCCTCCCACCCCGGTGACAGCTGGAGGGAAGGAGGATGTTTCCCGTCTGGTTTTCATTTCCACGGCAGGGAAAGCTGTCAGCAGTGCTGGAGGCTCCTGGGGAGCCCAGGCTGGGATTTAAAGGCTGAGAGAGGTGTAAATCACTCTGCTCCCAAAGCCCCCATGCCTCGAGCTGGGTTTGTCCCAATGAGCTCCAGCAGAACCCCCCTCTCCTTGCTTTGTCTTCTCAGCAGTGCTGTCTGAGTCCGCCAGGGAAGTGCAAAAGAAGGATGCAAAAGGCAGGATCCTGTATTCAAGAAAACGTCTTTATTGTACACGTTGGCTTTGTATTGCTTGTATCCCCTCCCCGGTCCCATGTAGTGCAAAAAATTCCTTGAAACGGAGTTCCACATAAATAAGTGGGGTAACTTACAGAGAAACCAAAGTGACGACGGTTGGACGTGGACACGGCGGGTCTGCTAGCGGCGGGGGGCGAGCTGTGCCCATAATGGGGTCAGCACTGCCAGCCACAGCGGGACCCCTGGGGGACACAGCAGGAGCCCCCCGCCCAGGGGGACGGAGCTCACATGGGAAACAGCACATTTGGGGACAATTTGGGGCGAGACAGCACTAAGTGAGGACGGCAGAGGAGCCGCGGAGAGCTGGCGGTTCTCCTCCCCACGCAGGGACGGACACAGACGGACGCACGGCCCCGCTGAGGTCGTGCAGCACCAGAAGCAATCCCGACCCCGGTGTCAACCCGGGGGCAGGTGCCGACACCTCGTGTCCACACAGTGCAGGTCGGGGTGCTCCGGGGACAATTTCTCCCTTTCCTTCCTTCGTTTCCCACAGAGGAAAGCATTGAGCACCTGCATAGTTAGGACATGGGGCGCGGGAGGCTCCCCAGGTTTCTGTTTTGCAGAACAGCCTCGGGGCTGGTATTGCTCAGGACCCAACCGGTGGGTGACAGAGGTGATGCTGCCCGTGCTGCTGATCCCCAGAGGAAGGGCAGCATCGCCATTGCTGAAGGTTCCCACCACCCTTCTTCCATTCCTCTCGCTGGCCTCAGCAGCAGCATCTCCTTCGCAGAGCATCCTGGAGCTGCTGGCTGCAGGAGTCCAGCAGCATTATACTCCTCGTGTTGCTTACAGGGATGGTAAGAAAAGAACTGAGATCTCTCTCATGCACACACACACCTCCATGCACACACACCCATGCACACACACACACAACCCTGTGCCTATTTCACCCACGTCAATGTTAATTTGAACAAAGCTGGGGAGTCCTTGGCTCATCCCAAACTCAACTTTCACCCCAAGGAGTGGAGAAAGCAGGGAATCCCTATTGAAATTTTCGGCCAAATGCCATCACTGTGCGGATGGGTTGGGGTTGGACTTGATGATCTTTCCAACCTTAGTGACTCTATGATTACGATCCTATAGGTAAAATATGAACACTGTAAATGGGAAATAAGGAGTGTGGGAACAAGGAGAAAGGCATCAGCCTGAAACAAACAAACAAACAAACAAACAGTGTCACCATGTTCCCAAGGCCACAACTGGGTGCTGTTGAGGTACGGGTGGCTGAGTCATTCCCCTACAATGTGGGGAACACTCTCCCAATCCATGGCTCACACCCTACAGCACACGCACTGAAATCTAAGCAACCCCAGAGGTTCCATGGCATAGGTCTGGAAGGACAGGCTTGTGATTTACGGTGCTAATTGATTCAACCTTCATTTAAAGTGGTTGCCTAATTGCCAAGGAGTTGTTAATTGCGCACGGTCCCTTCCGTGCTGTTTTCACTGTACATATGGTATCTCACACATGCACACACACCCACACATCTATAGAGAACGTCTTCCAGGACACAGTCATCATCTCATCAACAATTAAGAAAAGTAATTGCATCCCTTCTGCTGCCTCCAAAGCAGATGGGATGGGGAATACCGGCAGAGTGTAAAAATAAAATGATATGAAGTCATTAAAATTAAAAAAAGAAGAAGGTGAAAAGTTAACGCCAACAAAAGTAACGCCAGGCAATCCTCCTTGTCTGGAAGGCTGGACCTTGCCATCAACCTGGAATCTGCTCTGCAACGAGGGAAACAGCAACAAGCTGCTCTGTTCCCAGCCAGACGGCGCAGTGGGATGCGTGGAGGGAGCAGGGATGGGTGCAGGCAGGTCCATCCCATCCACTTGCATGGCTCCCCACGGCCGGTTGGGTCCCTGTTGAATGAGGCTTTGTCTCCAAACTTCACCTCCTCCAGGCCCCGTCCCTTCGCTGGGCTTCATTTGTGTATTTTTAAGGCATCAATTAGACACCATTGAGAACCACGCGGCGGCCTCAGAGTCTTTAACAGTGCACATTAGGCTTGGTCAAGAGTTTGGCTACAGTGACATTCGGAGGGACGCTGCACATCCAACCACGTCCCTGGGAAGGAGCACTGCCCACCACGGCGAAGCCCCTGGGTTGGCTGTGCTGCCCACGTGGCACCGGCTGGATTGCCTGAATCCAATAAGCAGCGATGGTTTTGAGGTCCCCTTCCCCAAAGAAAACACGGAACCCTTTGGGAGAGCGGTGAGATGAGTCCAGGGATGGAGTGGAAACACCCCGTGCTGCAGGAAGGAGGGTGGTCCCCCAGGAAGCACAGTTTGGGGCTCGCTGATCCGAGGCGTGCGCCAGGGATGGCTCCAGGCTCCATGGGAGCAGAAGGGCTGGGGATGGCAGCCAACGCCTTCGCTCTGCTCCTACAGCGAGCGGCTGCCCCGCAGGACGGACCCCCGACCCCCTGGAGGTAAGGCAGGTCCCGATCCTTTGTCAAAGGCTCGTCGAGGACACGGAGAGCGTGGGTGAGGAGGGAGGTGGGAAGTTGAGCAGTTCCAGCACGGCCACCCCAACGCTGCTGCGACGGGTGAACATGCAGGAGGCTGCCACCCACTTGTTGGTGCGTGGGTTGTACTTCTCGATGGAGTTCAGGCTGGAGCTGCCATCGTTGCCACCCACGGCGTACAGCCAGCCGTCCATGGCCACCAGGTCGTGGGTGCTCCTAGAAGGAGCACGCAGAGACAGTGCAGAGCTCAAACACTGCCTCCAGTCTTTCCCTTTGCTCTGATACGCTGCTGCCTTTGTGCAGGGAGCACGGAGCCAGCAGGGCTAGCTGGCCCCCCCTGGGCACGGTCTGCATTTCGCAGTGCCAAGTGAAGCAAGGTTCTCAGAGACAAGCTCCCAACCCTCCCTGCAGCAGCTGCAGCCCAGCAGTTCCTTACCTGCGGATGTTCATGGGTGCAACGCTCTCCCACGTGTTGGTTTTGGGGTTGTAACGCTCAACGGAGTTAAGGCAGCTGGTCCCATCATTACCACCAGCCACGTAGAGCATCCCTTCCAGCACAGCCACCCCTGCGCTGCTCCGGCGGCTCAACATGTTGGCAATGGGCGTCCAAGTGTTGATCTGGGAAGGGGAAATAGGGATTGGTAAGCCACAGGTATGGGTCATTTTCCATGTGTCCCTGTGATGTTAGCCCTGATAGGACAATTAGGGCATTACCCTAACCCTAATTCTAACCCTAACCAAAAGACCTCTGGCAGGACCCCAGCTCTTTCCCCTTTATCCAAAAGGCCAATGAGGAGCAACCCTCATTCCATTGCTATCTGGAGCAGAAGCAATGAGCTGCTTGCCCAGCAGCGAGCTGGACTACAGCACTGCTTGCAGTCCAGCTCAGCTGCAGTCAGATAACAGCAAAATTTGCAAAGGAGAATTTCTCCTGCAGGAAGAACTGCAGTGCCCCAGGAGAGACCTCTGCCGACAGCTCAGGAAAGCACAGTGCAGCTGGCAAAGCCCTTCCCTGAGCACTGCTCTGTGCCAGGCCACCAGCACGTCACAGCTGAACCCCAGCCATGGGAATCAAGCTGTAAATTTGCACAAGGCACGGCTGGGGCTTTACGGCTCACTGAAAGCCTCTGGAACTGATGCTTTGATCTTTCTGCAACCTGCTCTAACAGAGCTACAGGACCCCAGACCCAATCGCCCACTGCAATCCCAGCTAACTGCTGGGAAGGGGATGCAGCAAGGACCTCAGGCAATGAGGATAGAGAGGGCTCTGGGGGCTGAAAGTCTGAGAGAGAGATCTCAGAGCTTGCATGGGTGAGTTTTTGCTCTGGGCTGCACCCAGTCCCTGCAAAAGAGCTGGACAAGGGGTCGAGACCTCCTCTGTTTCATGCACAACCAAGGAGGCAGGCAGCTCTGTGCTGCACAGTGCTGGGAAATGGACACATCCCAAGCTACAGCAGCTGTGTGCTACAGAACCATGTACAGCTGCTTGCTCACAGTCTGCAACATCCTCGTGTGCCTGCTGGTTGGCTGCAGGGCTCCATCAGGCACCCACCAGGAGAGGAGGAGGAGGAGGAGGGTTACCAGGCATGCTTTCTTCCGTGATTACCTGGGGCTCATACTTTTCTACTGTGGCTAAGTGGGATGAGCTGTCATATCCCCCAACAGCATAGAGGTTGCCTTCTGCAAAGACAGTCATACACACACACAGATTAGCTACGAAGCACAGCTGCAGTCCCAGCACAGGATTTATGGGGTGCCCATGGGGGCTGTGGGCTGCATGCCCCCCACACTTCCCCGGCTCCCCAGCAGCCAAGCAGCTCACAGCACGGCTCCCCACTCCCCCCCTGCCTTGCAGCACTGTGAAAGGTTCACCAGGCAATTTCTCAGCACTTCCCAAAGAACTCGCCCTCCTGCTGCTTCCTGACCTCCTCATTACAGGAGCTGCGAGTGCTCCCTGCTGGAGCAGCGGGTTATTTTTAGAGGCAGGAGCATGGGGAAAGCCAATAAGGGCTGTGGCAGGCGGTGTATGAGCTGTGATGGAGGGGAGGGAACCTCTGAGTCAGCACTGAGAGCTGAAAGCAGACCACAGGGAAGAGGCAGCAGGGGATACCTCGCAGCTGATGGTGGGATGGTGAGGAGCCGTGTGCTGCACCAGCTGGGGGGGAGGTGGCACTTGCATTGACTCCACTTGCATTAACCCCACTTGCATTGACCCCAGAGCTGCACTAAACAGTGAAAAGTGGCCACTTCTCACCCTGCATCCTCCTGAGGGACAGAACTCAATGGAGTCGTGAGACATCGCACCTAATGCTGTGGCACCTCTGGTAGATTGACACCACACTACTACTTGGATAATTAGGAAAGGAACTGCCTTTCATAGGGGAGGAGAGAGAAGGTGGTCTCCTCCTGCATCCAGCCCCCTTGCTCCGAGCTAGAAGGGAGCACAAAGGGGCCGAGGAGCAAGTAATGGGGAGCTGACTCCAGAATGTGATGAAACCCAACTACTACAGAAACCAAGGAGCAGGGCAAAGGCAGGGAGCATGTCAGGACATAGCAGAGGGATGGCAGAGCTACCCAGACCCACAGCTGGGGGAACGTGAGGAAAGTGGGGCAGGAATTTGAACAGGACATCGGAAGGAACCACCAGAAACGCAAGAGACAGTCTGCACAGAAGCAGGTCGTGTCCTCATGCCAGCACCCACCTAGCGTTGCCACCCGGACGTAGCGTCTCCTGGTGCTCATGGCAGCGATGGATGTCCAGGTGCCTGTCAGAGGGTCGTACCGCTCTGCGCTGCAGCAGGCAGGGACACAGGAATTCAGGTGTGACACTGGCAAGGCCCAGCTCAAAGCCCTTTGACACAAGCCCTCCTGGGCAGCTCCCAAAGAAGCTTGGGAAAAGGGAGGGAAAAATGGAGGGAAGAACTAACAAAGGGGCCGTGTTTGGTTGGGGGAGAGGGCTGCAAAATGGTGTTGTCTGTTTGTTTGTTTGTTTGTTTTTCCCTGAAGAAACTGCCTGGGCCAAAGACACTGGAAGACAGAGCTGGATTGCAAGAAATCTACTCGGTTAGAGCAGACCTGGTGGGCTTCCCAGCACCCAGCATCAAGGACAGAGCATGCAAGAGAAATGGAGGAGCCCACAGCGAGCCATTCCCTACCTGTTCAGGCATGAGGCCCCATCGTATCCCCCAGCAGCATAGAGGAGCCCATGAAGTGCTGCTACACCCAGGCAGCTCCTCCTTGTGCCCATGGACACCTCCGGTTGCCAGGAGTTGGTGACAGGATCATAGGACTCCACCGTGGCCAAATCTGAGGTCCCATCATAACTGCAGGGAGAAAACAATAGAGAGCGTGAGAGCTGGGAAGTTCAGACTTTATGACCTGTGAGCTGGGCACAGAGCTCCAGAGCGGACCCAGGGCCTGGTCCTGGCTCAGATCCCTGCTCCCACCCCCTGTCCCTGTGTCCCCTTACCCGCCCACAGCGTACAGCTTGTTCCCAATGGCCGCGACGCCCACCCTGGCCCTGCGGGTCGACATGGATGCCACCATGTGCCAGCGGTCCGTCCGCGTGTCGTAAGCCTCACAGTCCCCATGGATGGCAAACAGGCTGCCCCCACCTGCAAACGGAGCACACTCATCATCCCCGAGGCCAAGGGTAAAACCTGGGGAAAGCTTGGAAAGCTGGAGCTTTGTGCAGATCTGTGTGTAATCCCCTCGTTGGGAGAGCCTTACCCACAGCAAAAAGCACGGTGCTGGCCCCCTCGCAGCGCCGTGGCCTGGTCCTGCTGTTGCTGAGGACCCCCCTCTGCTCAGGCATGAGGTGGTACTTGAGGGCTTCGATCAGCAGGTCCTTGCACTCCGAGTGATGCCGCACCAGCAGCTCCGTGTCCACGTTGCTCATCAAGAAGTCCCGGCTCAGCAGGGGCAGCCGCACGCATTTCATGAGCTGAAAGGAGAGGGGTTGCATCCCATCAGTGGGATGGGAAGGGTTTGGCAGTGCAGCCCCCATTCCTCCCTTTCCTATTTCTGCCCACAGCCTTTCCTCTGCCCATCCTACAGCTTCCTGAGAATCACAGAATCATTAAGGTTGGAGAAGACAAGCTGGATCTAAGATCATCTAGTCCAACCGCCCGCCTGCCACCAATATTGCCCACTGACCACATCCCTCAGTGCCACATCTCCACAATCCTTGAACACCTCCAGGGGTGGTGACACCCCCACCTCCTGGGCAGTCTGTGCCAGTGCCTGACTGCTCTTTAAAAGAAGAAGTTTTTCCCAATATCCAACCTGAACCTCACCTGGTGCACAGTGAGGCCATTCCCTCCCATCCCATTCACCCACCCACGCCATACGCAGGCGCTGCTGGGTTGAACCAGGTCACCTTCCCCAGCAGACTCACCCTGGGGACATGCTGTCTCCTGCTGTCCACATCATGTTTGACCCAGCTGAGCACAGCCCGGTAAACCTCCTCCTCTGATGGCACATTGAGGCTGTCACTAGAAATGAGGTCCAGCACCTGTGGAGAAGGATGGAAAAGGCAACTCCCAGCTGGTGCAGCACAGGAGGAAGGGACACGTTCCCACAGCAGGGAATTTGCCCAGCAGAGCAGCACAGAGAGGTACAAAGCAGCATCCTGTAGATGCTGCTGGTCGAGGGGTACACATCTAAGGGCAGCTGGTCCCCCAGCAGGCAGCTGCAGCTGTGCCTCCCCCTCCTCCCAGATACAGCTCTATCCTCGGTCCCCTCCTTGGCTCATTCCCCCCTTTCTGCGTCTGAAGCTGCTGCAATGCCTGACACTTCCAATAAACATCAGTGAGATCAGGCGGACGACTGTGCTTGCACAGGTCCCTTCAATATTTCATGGGATGGAGCCAGGTGCTCTGGCTGCTCGCAGTGTGCTCGCTTTGCCTGCCAAGGATAGAGCTGGAGCAGGTGGAGACTCATACCCCCCCTTGCTGCCACGCACCCCACAGCCCCAGGGATGGATGGAGCAAAGTGGCTCCCAGGTTTGTGCTCCCAGGGAGAAGGCAGAGCATTCAGAGCTCGGGTGGCAGGCACCAGTGACAGCAATTATCCTCCCCGCTGCCTTCCCATCCCTATTTCACAGGGGATTAAGCTCACTCTCTGACAGCATTCTCCACATGTATTGTTTCCCCATCAAACAGAAAGGACCAAAGCACAGAATCTGGCTGCATTCGCCTGCTAAACCCTGTCTTGTTCTGACTGTGCCATTCAGAACGGAGCAAGAAAAGCCTTGCCAGTCCCACACCTCCATGCTTCCATCAGGATCTCACTTGTTTAAGAGGCAGCAACATGAACTCCTCTGTCTTGGACACCTCCACGAAGTGTTGGAGGACGTATTTGTGTGCAGACTTGAGAAGGTCACTGCAGGAGTGCGTGTCGGCAAAGCCCCGGATCCCCAGGCAGTTGGATGGGTCGAGTTGGCTGAGCAGGAACTTGCAGCAAGCATCCCGCACCCCATTGAGCTGAAGCAGGCTGGCAGCAGGAAGAAGTGTCTGGGCAGTGGAAAAGAACAGGGGAAAAAAAGAAGCTTCCAGGGCAAGGAAACACCATTTCCATCACCAGTTTTTCAACAGCAGAACAGGTTTACTGAGCAACTTCGTGCACACAAGCACATAGAGGACAAAGCACTCCTTGTTTCCAACAGGATGGAGTTTAAGAGCCAAGAAGGACACCCATAACCCCCCACAGGGCTAGGAAATGGCCATTGCAGTAGTGCTTTAAGGAGCACTCCCATCCACAGCAGCTGCAGGAGCTCAGGAGAGCAGACGACCACTGTTAGATGCAGGCACCATCACAGAGCAACAGTGGAAAGCCCTGAGCAGAGGGAGAGAAGAGCTCCAGAGGTAAGGCTTTGTGGGATAGACAGGTCTGGGGGGGCTCCTACCTGCACATTGCCCTCGCCCACCACGATCTCTGCTGTGTAAGCATATTGCACCAACTGCTCCAGGGCCTGAGGGTCGATGTCGTGCAGTGTCACATGGGTCTGGCGGCTCTCACTCATCTCATCTGGGGCAACACAGACACCAGAGATAGCCCTCAGCATGTTTCTTTCTTGTCATCTAGCTCCTGCCTGTTCCATGTCTATGCGATGTTCGTGGCCTGGTTGAATTGTAGGCAGACAACACAGCGGTGCAGAAGGTTGTCTGGGAGAGGGGATGCAAGCTGGCAATAAACCATGAGCTCAGCTCTGCCTGATAATGAACCATGGCTCCTGGAAAAGCCTAGAGGCTACAGAAAGGGGATGTGAAGCTGTGCCCTTGGCTCCTTCCTCTTCTGGAGACAGAACCCTCCACCTCCACAGCCTGACATCAAGCACAAGGGAGGTCTCCTGCTCTCTTCTCAGCAGGGAGAAGCAGCAGTGCATTACAGGCAATGGGGCTCACCCAAGCTACCAGGGTAGCTTCATAGGAGGGAGCCAAAGGAGGAAGTTTGCTTGTTCATATAGATGATGTCACACTTCCTTAAGGTAGGAGATGGACGGAAAGGGTAGAGGTGCGCAGCAAAGATAGGGATGGAGAGGAAGAAAGGAGGAGGCTACTTGCTTGTGAACATGGCGTGGAAGTAGGGGCTGCAGGACGCCAGCACCACCTTGTGGGCTTTGATCTCCTTGGTGCCCACGTGCAGCACGATGTCGCAGAGCAGCCCGCGCTGCCGCATGCGGTTCATGCACACGAAGGCGTCGTGGTAATGGCGCTTGGAGTTGTGTGAGATGCTGTGGCCATCGCGGTTGAGGAGCTGCACACCGCCCTCCATGGCTCTGCTGGGAGCTCACCCTTCTCCGGCCTCACTGGAGTGAGAAAAAACAATGTGTTATCCTGAAGGAATGGCTTGAGATCCACACAACTTCCACGGCTCTCAAGTATATGGGCTGAGGGTCTGCACTGCTCTGTGCCCAGCCCATCTGTGGGTCAGCATCCTCCTCACCTGCCATCAAAAGGGCACTGCTCTACAACATGTCCATCACATCACCAACCTCAGACGTTTCACTGGGACACACCTGTCTTGCATTGATTCAAGTTCTTTGCTGTGAGAGTGGTGAGGTGCTGGAACAGCTGCCCAGAGAGGCTGTGGATGCCCCGTCCATCCCTGGAGGTGTTCAAGGCCAGGTTGGATCGAGCCCTGGGCAGCCTGGGCTGCTATGAAATGTGGAGGTTGGTGGCCCTGCATGTGGCAGGGGGGTTGGAGATTCATGATCCTTGGGGTCCCTTCCAACCTGGGCCATTAAACACAGCCTAAATGTGTGTGACAATAAACACGACCCAATGATCCTTATGGGTTCCCTTACATCTCAGAGCGTCCTCTGACTTCTACACTCCTGACCAAGCAACCGCCAGTCCGTGCTGTCCTCCTGCATCCCCTAACCAGACACAGCCCAGCAGCCCAGGAGGGAGGAGGGGAGCGTGGAGGAAGGAAGGAAGTCATCATGCAGCATCCATCCACCAGCCCACGCATCCCTGCAGATAGAGAATCCCCTCTGCTCCCCGTTGCCTCACCACACCTCCACATCTCCAGCCTAAAAATAGAGCCCCCCACGCTGCGCCGGCTGAGCTGCTGGAGCTCTATTCATGTTTAAATAGCAGTTGTGTCATGTACAAGAGTCTGGGGGAGGGAAGAGATGAATAAACATCTTTTCTGAGTGGGAGAGAGGCCTGCGATGCCCTCTTCTCCGTGCATCATCAGTGTGATGTGAGATTCCCTCTTCGCTGCCAGGGCGGGCACATGGTGAAGGCAGTGCTTTCCAGCAGTGAGAGCAGGGTGCTCCGTGCCCTTCATGCCAAGAGTTAAGCACTGAGCTGAGCTCTGCAGAAAGCTGCAGCATCCCCAGGACATGCCTATAAAGGAACACTTGTAGACCTTGCTGCATGAAGGCACTGCAATATCAGCACCTGGGACCAGACCTGATTTAGTAGAGGAGCAGATGTTGCTCTCACTCCTTTATTCCCCTCCCTGGCTGCAAGCCTGAGGGTCCTCCCAACCTGCTTCAGCTGGTTCCTCTCTTTAATGCACCACCAAGCATCCTTTTCTCCATCACCACTGCCAGGAGGGCACGGAGGGGACAAGGCAGAACAGGGTGCTTGTGGGGTGGGAAGGACAGCATGCCTCCAGGGGGTGGCACAGGATGTGGTTGCAGAGGTGGGGACAGACAGAGGGCACAGCTGAAGGGTACATTGCTGCCAGCGCATCCTCAGCTCCAGCAATCAAATGCATTTCCAAAGAGGGTAGGAAGTGTTGGGCTCTATTCCCAGCCCTGCCACTGAGTCATTGCACAACTCCGGGCAAGCACAAATGCAGAAGTGACAGGGGTGACATTATTCCCTGCAGTGAACCTCTGAGCTCGGTCAGAGCCACACCAGCACCTCCTATGTCCCAGTGCTCTGTGCTGTCAGCTGTGCCATTGGGCTCCAAAGCAACCAAGCAGCACCCAAGGGAGACACCACCCCACTGACCCCAGACCCCCAGCAGCATCCCCACCCCATGGACGGGCCCTCCCTTAGGATCTACACAAGGAAACAGCTCCTACAAAGCCCTCCTCTCTCCCGGCCCCATGCATCAGCACATGGAAAAGCAAACTTCATTCCCAGGAAATGAAGGTCTATGAGCCCTGCTAGGATATAATTAATGGGGAACAGTGCTTGGACCACAGGAGACAGTAAGGCAGTGTGCAGGACTCCAGGGGGGAGGGGGGAAGACCATACAAACCCACTTTTGTGGGGTGTGCAGCAGCCCCAGTGCACGTGTTAAGCATCAGCTGGAGCGGATGCAGTGCTGACTTGTAACCACTCCTGGGTTATGACAAAAAAAAAAGCAGGCGTTTGTTTGGCTCCTCTGCGACAGAGCGTGGCCATGCATAACAGCTCTGTTAATGAATGCAAATGATCCCTGCCCAAAGGGAGGTCTGTTCTCTCCGCACACAAAAAAAAATAAAACATATTTTGCTGAGAGTGAAGAGAAGCGTGCTGAGCAATAAGCAGGGAGCAGAGCATCCTCTGGGGAGAAGCTCGCCGATGGCCCCTTCCCCAGGAAGGCCCAGCAGAACGGCCCTTTGTTGGCTGCCCTGGGTGGAGGTTTCTGTCTGCCAGCAGATATCCTGCACAGCTGGCCAAGTGTGGGGAGAGGGTGAAAACAGCCCTGCACCAGCACTCAGAATCCCATTCTAACCCCACTGCGATGGGTCCTGAATCCTTTCCCAGCAAGCATCCTCCTGCATCCAGCATTCCCATGATGAGCAGAGATACCCACTTAATGTTAAAACTCAGAAAAAAGCCAGATTGGGCAGAACAGGGGGGCACAGGCAACTGCTGCCCAGCTCAGGTGGGGAAGCATCTTCCTCCCTCTCGGAGCCAAGCTGGGAAGAAGATGTTCTCCTGCATTCCAGGGACTGCTCCTTCCCTTCAGCAATCATGAGACACAAGCAGCTGAGCTGGCAGGAACAATAGCTGCTGTTGTGCTGCTGCAACATGAGGCCACGAACACAGCAGTACCGACACCCAGGGACCTGGCTGGGCACAATGCAGGCTGCTCACACATCTCCCCTTCCATCTGGCATCACAAGGGTCCCGTTAAGCTGTGTGCTCTTGCTGAGCCATCCCTTCTGGTGCATCTCTGGGCTCTGAGGGCTGCGTTTGAAGAGAAGCTTTAAGCTAGCATCAGTAATCCTCTTGCAGTAGGCAGCTCTGAGACAGCAGCACCATTTGCACAAGCTGCAGCTGATGCACACTACCTGCCCTTATACCTCAAACTGAGATAGCCCAAATTTTTGCTGATTTCAGAGAGCCTGACACGGCTCGTGGTAGAATATATTGCTCTGCTACCGCTCCCGCTCCCTTCCCGACAGCAAACATGATTGAAGCAGGTTGGAAATCATCCAGCTGTATACACCCAGGGCACTAAATCTGGGTAGTTGCCCTCAGCAGGGCTTGTGCTGGCATCACTGGCACAGACAGGACGCTCTGTGCCCGCACGACAGTGCTGAGAAATTCAGCCCCTCCTCGCTCTGCATTCATCCAGGGAATCTGAACGGACAGCACGCAGCAGCTCCTCTTTAACATGAGGTTAATCAAGTGTTCAGCCTGGAAGAGATGAAGTCACCAAACGTGAGGAAGCAGAGGGCACTAACAGCTCAGGACCAGCAAGTGCACTGCTCCGAGCTGCAGATCCAGCACTGCTGCTGCAATGACCCCATGGGGTGGCAGAGCCCCCATACAGAGCTGGTTGTGTCCTCCCATCCCCCTTCTATTCCCCAAATCCTCGTGCTGTGGATGGCAAGCAAGGTCTGTGCTGCTCCTGCAAGCAGTGGAATTAATCTGAGAGCCACAGACAGCGCTGAGTCTGCAGGACTGAGAATCCCCAGCTCTCAGTAGGGTTGTGTTGTGTGTGTGTTTTTTTAATGAATTAGGCATAAGTGACACGCACTGAATCCTCCTGTCTAGACATCTGCAGAGAAGTGACAAGCTGCCAGAGAGGATGTGGAGCCTTGGCAAAAGGGGTGGGGAGGGCAGGGGAACGCTGCACACAATTGCCAGCTCTACAGCACAGACACAGCGCTGGCTTCGGGCAAGAAGGGCATTCAGCACATTGACCTCATCAGTGCCTTTCAGCAGCTCAGCGGGTTGTAATCAATAGGTTCTGGTGCATACGGAAGGCTGGAGGTCTCCTAATGGAAGCTTTTCTCCCCATTTCTCCTGGAGCGTTTTGTTTGGATCCCAGTTACCCCAACCCGTATTCAGAAATGCCTTTGTTCCCATATGTGAAAAAAGAGAAGGGATTTCAGCCTGGCTTGCCTTGTGCCTCCCTGGATGCACACTCTGCTCCCTGCCCCATGCACACCTCATCCAGGCAGCCACTCTTCCTGCAGATATCCTCAATGCAGCTCTCATGTTCCTTGCACACAGGATGGGAGCAGCTCCACGCACAGCTGATGGATTCAGAGGCAGCTGTGCTGACATTTGGGTAACATCAAGTAATGGGTCAGGACCTGAATGGTTTCAATTCCGGCAATGGGAAGAAACAAGCAATGGAAACTAATTCATAAAGATGCCTTTGAGATGCTCAGCAAAAGGTGCAGGTCTCCAGCTGCACTGGGATCACACAGCAGCTCCAACATTCCGGCACAAAGCACACCGAAATCTAAGCAAAAGCAAAACCTCCTGCCTCTGCCAAGGGCTGGAAATGTGGGCCATGTCCCAAATCCCCCTTCCCAGCATCACACAGCGTACAATGGAGAGCAGCTGTCACATCCAGCACTGCTTTATGGCACAAGCAGTGTCAAACCTCCACACAGAGGCATGGAGAAGGTCCCTTCAGGCAACAACTAACAGCTCCAACTGCACTACCCATCACAGTGGCACTCATGAGATCCTCCAGCCCCTCTGACAGACACCTCTGACCCCAACTTGCTCTCCAGAAAGGCAAACAGAGTCACAAGCAGAGCCTGGGCCAGGTGCAGGCAGCCCCTGGGGGAGGAACACTGCACTCCTGGCTCCCAGTCTTGCCATGGAACACCTTTTGCCATCACCCTTCAAATAACACTCTGCCCTCCACCTGCCTGCTCTGCACAGCGATGGTGACTGCAGAGGGTGGCATTGGGCCAGCTTGGAACAGGCTGTGGTCAGTGGGCACCGTGGGGATGGGCTGGGATAGGATTTGGGGGCATTCGTGGTCTTCTCCTACCTGAATGATTCCATGATTCTCTGATTGCTTCGCAGTGTTGCCTCGACATCAGGCAGGAGCTATGGATGTGGTGACACTCATGGGTTACTAACCGGCTTCTGAAGGGAGTGCTATGACATGAAGCAAGGTGACATGGTGGAGGAGGGTAGAAGAGACAAGGAAAAGGCTGGGAGAAGGACAAGGGACCTTCCTTGTCAGCCAAGGTGCTAAGCAGTGGTTCCATTCAATCCTAGACCATCAAGCCAAGAGAGAGGGAATTACAATTCCTACCATCTCCTGCTCTGAATGTTTGCTTCATTTGTGCATCAATCAACTCTCAGGAAGGAAATTCTGACCTTTACATCCCAAATCCTTCAGCCTCACTCACTGCCATGCTGAATGCCAGCATCAGGAGGGAAATTTGGGCTGCAGAGAGAAGAGATTCCAGAGGCGATTGCTTGGCTGCAGTGATGCTAACCAGAAAGTTGTACTGAATCACAGAACCACAGAATCATTAAGGTTGATAAAGACCTCTAAGATCATGTAGTCCAACTCCAACCCATCACCACTGTGCCCACTATGTGAGCCCAAAAGTCCACAATGTCAGGTGACCTTTCCGCATCTGGGATCTGCACAGCACTCTGTGTCCCACTTGGAGCCAGCTTGGTGCTGCAAATGGGGCACCCAGCAGCTGAGGGAACATAAGATCAGCTGCATTGTTTTCTTTTTCCTTACAGCCACAGCTATATTGCACTTAGGGAGTCTGGGTGACTTCCTCACTGGGACCAAACAAAGGAGCATCTCACAGAGCACTGGCACGCAGGCATCACAAACCTGTTGCAGGATCCCTATACAGTGGATGGATGGTCAGGAGACCTCTGAGGCTCCTCTCAGCCCTTGGAGCCAATAAGTTGCCTCCATTCACCCAGCCACCATCAGATCCCCGTGTTGCTGAATCACCCCGGAGCCGCTCTCCCTCCTGCTGGGGAGCACCCAGCACTGCCACACACAGCAAGGGTTTATTCTGCAGGGACCCCACCATTCCAGGACACCATCCGTGCACTCTGCTGACCCAGCCCAGCAGCTGGATGTGCTGGTGATGACTCCAGCCCCCTGCTGCTCTGCTGGCTCCCAGCAAGAAGAGAGCTCCGTGCTCTGACGGTCACTGCAGAGGCCCCAAAACCCCCATCCCGCACTGCATCCCGCATCCCCCGGGTACCACCAACCCGCGCTGACATTTCTCCCTTTGCCCTTCAGCTCCCCCGCATCAAACAGCATCCAACAGCCGCTGTGCGTCCACGGAGAGATGACACAAAACGAGACCGCAGAGCCACCGTCGGGCCCGGCAGCGCGACAACCCCGTTCTACACCGCGGGATGACTCCGTGACCGGGCACACAGCGGGCCGGGAAGCGGACAGCCTTAACGGGAGAGGTGCGGAGCGCAGCGCTGCCCTTCCGCATCCCGGCGGTGCCAACTTGCTCCGGGGCTGCACCCATCGATCTCCCGGGACGCCTCATTGCGAGCCCCCGCCCTCAGCCCCACCGACCCCGAGCCGTTCCATCCGCTCTGGCCAGGCCCTTCCCACCTCCGACCTGCCCCGATCGCCCGCACCGTTGCCGGCAGGGCCGTGCCCGCTCTACTCACGGCTCCGCACGGCCCGGCCCGCGGGATGCTGCGGGCTCCGCTCTGCCCGCGCCGCTGCCGCCAGCCCCGCGGCGGGGGCGGGGCCTGGAGGAGAAAGGGGCGGGGCTAGGGGCGGGGCTAAACCAACGACAGCGGTCGGGCAACGCTAAGCCACGCCTACATAAAAGTTAACCACGCCCGCGCACAGTTTGGCCCCGCCCCACACCGCGCGGCATGCTGGGAGCGGAAGTGCGGCTGCCGCGAGGAGCGCGCGGGCGGCATGGCGGCTGCCGGGAGGAGGTGAGGGCTGTGGGGGCGGGGAAGGCCCGGCCGGGAGCGCGGTGCGTTCCGCTCGCCTTTCCTTCTTCACGTCTCTCGTTTGTCCCCGCAGGAAGCTGGAGGAGCTGAGCGTCGACGAGTTCCTCGCTAATGGCTTTGAGTCGGAGCCCGACGGCGGTTCGGAGGAGGAGGAGGCCCGGCCCAAGGCGGGGGGGAGGCGGCCCCGGCCCAAGGCGACCGTGCGGTGAGGGTCCGGGGGTCGGGGCTGGGCTTCAACCAGCTCTGCAAGGAGTGGGAGCAGGCCGGGCTCTCGGGAGAGGCGGTGTGAGCTGCCTTTGTTTTTTCTGGGGAAGAGAAGGCTCTGGGGAGACCGTAGTGCTGCTATCTAGGGGGCTTATACGGGGCAGTGAGGCCCTGGTGCAGCTGCACAGAGCAGTGTGAGCACTACATCCCAAGCCCAGGCTGAACCCTGGGAAGTGTGATATGGTGGGGGCCACCCAGCCCGCAGCAGGGGTTGGGGTTTGTGTGAGCTTTAAGGTCCCTTCCAATCAAAGCTATTCTATAATTCCGCTTTTTTTTAATCCTGAGTTAAAATAACCTTTGATGAGGCCTTCCAAAGCAGGTGTTGAAGCCACTGTTCTGATTATCCAATCACCACTTTAATTAGCTGCAGGTGTGCTTAGTGCCCAGTGACTGCTTGCTTGCTTTTCATAGAGCACCAGCAGAAGCTTGAGCAATGAATGAACATCTTTTAACTCTTCTCTATCAGAAAGAAAGGAAAGGCATCTGAGCATAAAGACCAGCTTGCCCGACTGAAGGAAAAAGATCCTGAATTTTACAAGTTCTTGGAAGAAAATGACCGCACGCTGCTGAACTTTGATGCTTCAGACAGTTCTGAGGAAGAGGAGGACGGAGGCTTGCACATCCCACCTGACACATTAGAGGTACCAGAATGCTGAAATCAGTTGTTCCAATTACATGTGAAAAGCTTTGAGTTTCAGTGCAGGTGTTAATTATATTTGGGCTGATAGTTGTGCTGGTGAAAGGGTTCTCCAAAGATAGCTGCAGGTGTGTGTGCTTGTAACTCAGAAACCAGCTGTGGCTTTGAATTGAGCATGAGTTAAAGATTGTGAAGGCAGAGCCTTGCACTACCTTTTCTCGGTGGCTTTAGATTTGTATTTATTTTCTCAATGAAAGTTTATTTTACTACAAGTTTTGTCCTCATTCATTTCAATTACTGCACATCATGCTATGTAGTGAAGCTGCAGGGCTGAAGTAGCTTTATTGGAATTTGTAGTAACCTTAATTTTGTTATAGTTTTACACAAAGTGCTGATAACACAAGTTGCTACTGCCTACTTTCCTCTTCAGTAGTTATTCACTAAAACAGATAGGACCAGAAAATATGTATATGAACATTTTCTTAGTCTTGATATTAACTTTTTTAGGAAGCGAGTGATGAAGGTGAAGATGATGAAGAAGATGAAGAAGAACAGGAGAAAGTCAAACAGAAGAAAGTTGAATCCATCCCTGTGAGCCTGAAGATGGTTGAGGAATGGAAGAAAGCTGCAGAGGTGAGCAGGGAGTTAGAATACAAAGCACTGGAGCATATTCTTTTAAATGTTGGTCCACATGTTGCCACCTCTAAGGGCTTCATTTTAATTTGTTCATCTTTCTTAGAAGTACAGAGGAGATGGTGTGCTGGTCCTGCCCATATAGTTTGTGTTAGCTCAACGTGATTTATCTTTGCAGTTTTTACTTGGGCTGCAATATTACTTTTGCTCTGAAGGGAAAGATGAAGAAACTGTAGTTCAGAAGCAGGCAGAATGATTAATTCTTGTTCACTTCATTGCGGTGCTTTGTGTCTTGGACAGTTCCAAGAACTTGTTTGAAGTCCCATTTTGAGCAGTGTATTCTGATGAAATATCTTTCTGTATCTGAGAGTGGGAGGGAAAGGTTAAGCTGGATAATTGCTTGCAGCTGTTTCTGCTTCTTCACTCTCTTGCCCCTCAACCAATTAAGAGCCTTAAACTTATTTTAAAGCAGGTGAAAGCCATTAGCAGTTGCTAACTGTCTTGACACTTTTTTCTTATGTTAAAAGTTCTATTTTTTACAGTGAACTTAAAATAAATTCCAGCACTCCTGTCCTTGTAAAGTGTTTCAGAAATTCACTGTTTGGTTTCTATTCTTTCCTCAGAGAGGGCTAACACCAAGACTTTTCCATGAAATCACTCAAGCATTCAAAGCAGCTGTAGCAACTACCAAAGGAGATAATGGTGGTGCTGATCCCAGCAAGTTTCAAGTCCTTGATGCTGCAGGTGAGTTGATTGCCATGCTTTGTGTGAAAAGGGAATTCATCTTAGAGGGAAAGCTACTCTGTTGGAAGAGAGTGAGGATAAGTACTGATGGAGCAAACTTACCCTTTCCTCCTTGCTGTTGTCTCTAGGACTGATCTCACAAGACAAATTTGTCTTCTCACCTTATGACATTCTATAACCTTAATGTAGTTTGGAACAAGGTTCTGCTGTCAAATTCATATATCCCTAGCCAGGACCTCTCAAAATACTGCAGATGTAGATCTCCTCTACAGAATTATCATGCTGTAACACAGATGAAATAGAACTTGCCTCCCTTTTATGTGAGCTCCAGGTATTCTGGGGGAGAGTGGTATGTTTCTGACCAGAAATCATGGATCAGGCTGGAAGCTTGTGGAGATTGTAGTTCTGTAGGAGTTACTAGCTTCAGCTCTTTGAGGAGCTCTTCTCAGGTTAGCTGAGAAACTGTGTGTGTATATGTTGTGTATATATATATATATATAAAAAAAAAAACAATCATTTGTAAATGCTTTAACTTTTTTTAACCAGTGTTCAATGCCCTTGTGTCCTTCTGTGTCCGGGACCTCTTCAGCTGCCTGCAAAAGCTGCTGCTTGTGAAAACCCCTAAGAACAAACAAAAGTAAGTCTGGGAGATTTGAGAACTGCAGGTGAGAGCTGTGTGAAATTATTTCAGAACTGCATTCTGGTAGCGAGGCTGGAAAAAGATGGCAACTCTTCCCAAACAGTTATGAAGTTGTTTTGAAGCTGCCTAGCCAAATTTTTTTTCCCCTCTGAGAGTGCAATCCTCTCTGATGTTAGACTCCAGCTGCTTGCACAGTGCATTGGGTTTAACAGAAGGGCATCTGGAACTGTGCTTGTGTTCAAGAGCAGTGTTAAGACATTGTGATTCAGATTTCAGAGAAAGGAGGCCCAAACCTTCTACATACAATGAGGCCAAGTACTTCAAGCAGATGTTTTTACTGCCTGGCAGTATTGAGGAAACGAATTCACTGTTCTTCATGATTTGTTGCTGCTTTTTAAATCTAAGCCCAACTCTTGTTCACTTGCAGAATGGCCCTCCCTTCCAGCAGTCCACTTTGGAGCAAATTGCGACTGGATGTAAGAATGTACCTGTCTTGTACCATCCAGGTAAGAAACCTCATGTTCGTGTTGCCACCATTGGGCTGTGTATCTGTGGGCTTTTGATCTGGGTGTTTTGGAATGAGGCAGGCAAGCTTTTGCTCACCATCACTAAAAGAGCCAAACAGTCAACAAATTAATTAATGAGGCAGGTGTGCTGCAAGGCAGTGGTTGCAGAATGATCTAGCAGGAAGAGCATTTTGATCTGCAGAGCCTTTTCCTCAAGTTATGGTGCTTCTTACCAGTGGCAGAACTTGTAAGAGACTCAGTGCAAAGTCCTTGCAGTGCAAGGAGAGTAAAAAAGATTTGGCCATTTGTAGTGAGGTGACAGTGATACTGATGTTGTCTATAAGGTGTCTTAAACTATAGACACCCTGAGTTGTTACACTCCAAGTGAGGCTTTAAGTGATGAACTCACATGCCAGCACCTTGTGCTTCTGTTTGCCAAGATGATGTACGTTGATGATGTAGGGCAGTGATTTGGCCTGGCACAGACTTGCTCCATTCCTGATATAGCTTGGGTTTTTTGGGCTTCCTTCTGGAGGAGACTTTTGTTCCAGGCTTTGGTAACACAGTTACTTGAGAACAGCCAAATGAGATGCTTAATAGTTAAAGGAAGACTGCAAGCTAACTAAGTTCGTTTTGTTTTTCCCTGTAGCTCCTGTCTTGTTTAACAGAAGCCTCTGTTGGAGCAGCAGTTCTCCAGCATGTCAATTCCATACTGCCTTATTATCTGTCCTTCCCAAAGCAGTGCCGAATACTTCTCAAGGTAAGGTAGCATGCTGTGGTTTCATGGTAGTCTGGTCAAGATTCTCTTATCTTCCAGTCCAGAAAGGACTTGTGCTTCTCTTCTGGGCTTTCTGGGTGCTGTGAAACTCTTTCATGGTGAGATGAGTGGGCACAATGCTGTGTTACTACTGCTAGTCCCCGCACAAAGTGGCGGGGGTGTTCTGTGGAAGCTGTCTGTTTCCTTGCTGCAGATGGAATACTTGCTGCCTGGGTGCTGAGGCTGTGTTTAGTCTGTGATGGTATTACACTCTCAAGATCTGGGGGTGGAATATTTTTGCAGAAACTTAGTCACAACTGCTAAGTGCTTAAGATCAACAGAGGAGGTGTGGAAGAACAGAAAGAGGGCAACAGGGTGATGTGTTGGCATGAAAAGCTGCAACACATCATTTAAATGAGGGTGGGAATGCTCTGGTAAAGTTGTATGGCACACAGTGGTGAGGGGCTGGTACACCTAGCATTGTTTGATCACTGCTGTAGAGAGGATTTTGTAGAAAGGCTTTTCAGCCCTGCAGCTGGACCATTTCTGATTTCCTGAAGAATTTATTAGTAGCAAGCTTGTTTCAAGCTTGCACTATGATTATGGTGCTGCTGCACCAGATGCTTTCTGAAAGAGCCATACATGTCCAACTGAATCTGTAGACTGAGCAGGTGAGGGCAGGCAGGTCTGGGAAAACCTGAATCTGTTCACTTCCTCTTCAAGATGTTAAGGAGTGATACATGCATAAGGCAACCAAACATCAGTTAGAGCAGTGTTTGAGGTCATATGTCAATGGTGGGATGTCTGTTAGCCCAGAGCTCTGCAGTGGTTGTCCTCCTTGCTGAAGCTGGTCTAGTTAGTGCTGTGATCCACTGGGTGCTCATCGTGTTTGTGCCACAGTGTATGTCAATAAAGCTACATCCATTTTTCAGAGGTGTTGATTTGTGAAGTTGTATTGATCGTGGGTGTATTAATGTAACGTTTTGCATGCTGTTGTAGCTAGAGCATGAGGACAGAATAGCTGTTGTGACAGATTCTGTAACTACATGCCCTGCCATCTTTGTAATCCTTTTCTTCCCTTGCTTGCTTGGTATGAAAGCAGGGGCTCAGACCTTTCTGTTAGCAGGAGGGTCTCTTTGTCCCTTCACTTATGTGAATATTTCCCATTCCAGCAAGCAATCCATTTGTGGAGCACGGGTGAAGAAACAGTAAGAGTGCTGTCCTTTCTTGTGCTGAACAAGATCTGCCGCCACAGGAAAGAGGTGTACCTAAGTCACTTGCTCAAGGTAAGCCTGGCATTTCTTTTACTCTGCAGTTTTCCTGAAGTCAGATGCAAAAACCTCAAGGCAAAAGCTGCATTGTGTGAGGTACAACAGGTATTGACACCCTCAGAAGATTAACTGGGTGAAAATGTTAGTTGAAGTGTGGTCTCCTGTTTGTTACTACTGCCATTCTTGCTGAGGGCATGTAGGCAGAGTTTTTGCAGGCAATGCCTCTGGTATTTGTCTGCCTACAGGATAAATACTACTCCAAAATCTTGAGGGCTTTCTTCAAGTGCTGATGCTGTTTGGTGCTGCTGAACTGCTCTCATCTTTCAGCTAATAGCTGAGGTTCTCAAGTGTAGTTGGCTATGTTACTGTTATTGCAAAGAAAGCCATGATAACCTCTGTGACCAGCTGCAGGCACACATGGCTCAAAGGCATCCCAGCAGTTCTGTCCTCTCTTTGGAGGAGCAATGGCAATTTTCAAGCTCTGTGCTAAACAACGTAGAGGTGGAAAGAGTCTCTTTCCTGGCTCTGTTGAGGAAGGAGCATGCTAAAACTACCTTTGCATATTCTTTTGAAGTGGCTGTTCTTACAGAAGGAATTCCTCACTGCTGTTAGGAAACACCAGGGTGTGGGGAATGCTTTGTTCTGACTTCAATATGGCTGTATCTCATTCTCTTTCCCCAACAGCAAATGTACATTGCATTTGTGAAGAATTCAAGGTTTACCTCTCCCAATGTGTTGCCCATGATCAATTTCATGCAGCGAACGCTGACAGAGATGTATGCCCTGGACACACACACCTCCTACCAGCATGCCTTCATCTATATCCGCCAGCTTGCCATTCATCTACGCAGTGCAATGACCATAAAGAAGAAGGTGGGTGCCTGCCAGTGTGGAAGGAGTACCCCTCTGTGGGGAATGTGTGGAGAGAGGAAAATTACTGTAGCTGCTTGAGGCTTTTGGTGTCTCTCAATTCTGAGTACTTATCTGATCCATTTCATAATGTGCCAAGAAATAGTTTTGCCAGAGGCTGGGTGCTTCACAGCTGTCTGTGAATTCTTTTCTGTGTTAGTTTAGAGCTTCAGTAATGAAGGAGAGAACAGACTGCTGCAGAGTGGAAGTCACTTCCTTCTCTGCAGCTTGCCAGGAGTTTGACAAGCTTTCTCTTTTCTGTGTTGGACATGCTGTTTTCCTTTGTGAAACTACAGTTTTGCTGTTGCAAAATCCCAAAGTAGAAGGGACCAGGAATGACCCTGATGTGTACATCTTTCCACTGCTGTGCCCACAGGTGCATCTGCCCTGTTTATCAGCAGCTGGTATTGCCAATCTCTACTATTTATAGGGCTTCACTGAACAAAGCAGCTCAGACCTCTTGGGAACAGCCCTGATTTGGGCCACCTCCAGTCTGACCTAGCAAATCTGAGTCAGATTGCTAATCCTGGCTTTATTCTTGTTTAGCAAAACAGATCCCTATAGATTAATGGCTGAGCTGCTCCCAAACATTGCAGGACTGGTAACCAGTTAAATCTCCTGGCTGTTCAGACATGGGGATAAATGAAGTCTGGGATATATATTCTCTAATTGGATTGTGTTGGCTTCTTACACGCTCAGTCTTGGCCCAGACAAGACTTAAATCCACTTGTTTTCACAGCTGGGGTGGGTTGTGGGAACTTTACGTGACATCAGCACAACCAAAATGTACAAATCTCAGCAGTAAGCCAATTAATTTAAATTGAGTAGTGGGTGGTTATAGAAGGTGATTACAAGAGCAGGTTGTGCTGTACAAGAGAATCTGAGAACAGGCCTTGGTACATCGTGGTGAGCTGGGAGAGCTCTGTCATTTGCAGCTGCAGCCCAAGTTCCTACCACACGGTTTGGGCCAGTAGTTGCCATTAAGTATTTCTGCTCTTTCTCCAGTTCTTGCACGCCTTGTTTCCATCATGTGAAAGGATGACCTGGACTTTGGAAGTCTGTGTGAAAGATGGGTTGGAGCTGAGGCTCCCTCAAAAGCATAATCTCTTAAGAAACTTTGGTGTAATGCTTTGGATTGTGGGAAGCGTGTGGGCACGCATAACTCCTTGGAAAGAGTGTCCTTAAGGGACTTGTGTTTAGTCTGACACTAGAGAAGTTGCTTAAGCACATGGCACGTGTGGATAGGGACTTGCCCAAATGTTCTTTAAAAACTCTTGGATTTGTGCTGCTGAGCCAGCCTGAAGCTGCTGGTTGTGTGTCAGACACAACACTGAATTTGCTGGGTGATGCATGAGCCACAGCTAGAGTGTTAGGTCTCTTTGGGCAAATTCTCTGTCCTCTTGGAGAATGCTGTCTTGCAGAGAAACCAGAGTGATCTCTCAGGTGCCCCATTTTCAAGTCTTGATGTTGATTCCTTTTCTCCAGGAGAACTTCCAGTCTGTCTATAACTGGCAGTATGTGCACTGCCTGTATTTCTGGTGTCGAGTTCTCAGCACGATCTATCCCAGCGAGGTCATGGAGCCATTGATCTATCCTCTGACACAAGTCATCATAGGCTGTATCAAGTAAGTCGTTTTTTCTCTCTACTTGCAGTGCTGCTCTCATCTGCTACAGCAGAGCACTGACTAAGGGGTGTTACTGCTGTGTGATTTAGATTTAACATTGCATTGTAAGGAACTGTGAGCTGCTTTTGATGGAAGCAATTGTGAGCACATGCCACAGAGGAATTAAAAGACTTCTGAAGAGGAATTCAGCACCTCTGTTTTCCCTAGCTAAGATCATGGGCTCAGGCATATGTAAAACCAGATACTGTGCACAAAGGAGTGGGCACAACTCCCAGTTGTACTGGGAGGAAATGTACTTAACTGTCTTGCAGCAGAAGCGAATAGCAGGGAGTGCTAAACACAGAATCAAGTCTTCAGCTCTGTGAAGAACTGGGTTTTTGTGTGCATTTGTTGCTATTTGAAGTTCTAGGGGCGTGCTTACTGTTTTTAGTATGTCTCTGCTGAGAGTTTTTTTTCCTAGTGGTTTGTGTGCTTATATAGAAACTGCTGTTAATGGGCATGGAGGGAATTTCTGAATCTCTGGTGATCTCTGAAATCCTGTTAGCTCTGTAACCAGATTCTCAGCTTTAAAGCACCACCCGCCTGGTCTTGAAAAACTCCCAAGTGGTGATGAAGATAAGCAGATTTAAACGATCGTTAGAGCATGCATACATCCTTACCCCATCCCCCATATGCACAGGCTGCTTCTCACTGCTGTTGCAGAGCTTTAGCTGTCCTGCAGACAATTCAAGGCAGTTTTTTTGCCTGTCTGGGTGGATAAATCAGCTAGCTGGGGCCAAGGAAAGGTGAATGGGGTGAGTCTCAGCAAGAGCAGCAAATAATAAATAATGCTCCTGTCTGATGTACAGGGCTGGTTGGCATGGAATACAGTTACCATCTGACGATGCTTGAAAGGTTTGGATGAATTTTGGAGTGGGGACAATAGAGATGGATCCCAGGTTAACAAAGCCAGTGTCTTAGATGTACAGAGTAGATATGTTAACATGTGTGGGATGTACAAATAAGTAAGTATGGATGGGAATGGTATGGCAGTGTGAGCCTCCTGCTGCCTGAGTCTGTGCCCAGGAGCAGACTGCCTGTTCTTAGTTCTTAATTTCAGGCAGTTCTGGAAGGCTCACATAGGAGTATGGGGCTGCGTGGTGTCATGCTGAGCAGGCTGCTTTGCAGAGACAGTATGAGCTGCTCCTCTCTGTCACCCTGCTGCTCAGCTGTGCGATGGGTGGGAGGGAGGGAAGCTGGGCATGGAGCCTCTCCTGCACAACCTTTCAGTTGCACTGCTGGTGTAGCCCTCTTGGGAGCACCAGAAGGGTGATGGATAGCACTTGGAGGTGAAGATGTTCCTTCCCCAAGTGCCTTTAGGCCAGGAGGTGGCGCCTGGCTCCACTGAAAAGCAGCAAGTGGGGATGTCTGTCTGTCTGCAGGACTGCACTGGCTCCTCTTGCTGCCCCAGGGGCTCAGGTGGGGAAAGCACCACTCCTCACAGGCTTTCTGCTCTAGGCAGGGACCAAGGCAGAATTAGAAACATGATGGAAACGAGATAATTAGGAGCAGGGAGTTGCTGTTAAAATGAAAATGAGCTCCTTAATTTTCTTGTGCTCCAGCATATAAAATGCTTTCAAACTATTTTTAACAATACATTTCAGAAATGTGTTGAAGAGGCATGTGATCAAGATGCTGATGCAGGGAGGTGGAGCGCTGCATGGGGAAATGCTGGAGTTTGATGGCTTTTGCCTTAGTGATGCTGAACAGTGTTGCTTTGCTGCACAAGTTCCTGTTTTTTTTTCCCCCCATCCTAGAAAGGGCTTTTTCTACCTTGTTCCTATAGCAGACAAGGTAGAAAGCCAAGCTATAAACATGATGCTCCTCCACTGCTTACAGCTAAATAAATATCTGTGGTGCACTGAAGTTTTGCTTTCCATCCTCCTGGTGTGTTCAGAGGAGAAGGCTTGGAACCCCTGGGGTGACCTCTGGTCAGCTCTTCTTTGCAGAGCCAAGGCCCAGCTGTGCTTTGTATTCCCTGTGCATCCAGCCAGCAGGAAGTTAAGCAGATTGGTGCATCGCAGAGCACTCTAAAATTAATGGTCTTGGTTTACAGTAAATCTATACATTTAACAGGTTTATCCCTTGATCAATTAATTCCTGAGAATGGCTTTCGTCATCTCCACTGGTGCCAGATCAGGGGTGCAAAGTAGATTTATTTCTATAATGGATCCAATGATAATTATTTCACTATTCTGTGGGGTTAGGGGGAGAGGATGGAGGTGATTTATGGTTTCTGGTCAAATGGTGTTTTTTTTTTCCTGCTCCTGGGTTGCTCAGCAAGGTGGGGGGTGATGTACTCATCTATCAGGTGTAAGGCTGTTGTTTGTTTTCTTTAATATAATTCCCAGACTTGTTAATGTTAGAGTATCCATGGCTTCCAGGCTGAGGTGGTGCATAGTGAGAGGTTTCTGGAGTGGTAGGTTTGTGACTGATGGGCTCTGCATTGTTCTCTGCTGGCTTACATGGTATGGGGCAGCTCCTTTCCCATCAGAACCTGGCAATCTGGTGCTTGGGTTGCAGAAACTTGTTAGTATTATTGCTTCAGCATGCGTGAATTTTATTTCCCATTGTGGTGTAGCTTCCATAGCTTGATTTGCTCTGTGATACTAAAGCTGTCCTCCTTTTCTAGTGTAGAAAATGCTCCAGAACGTTGCTGAAGGCTGCACATGCAGCTCCTGTATTAACATGACCTGATACCCTTTCCTCTTTCTGCTCTCTAGGCTGGTGCCCACAGCTCGTTTCTACCCTCTGCGCATCCACTGCATCCGTGCCCTCACACTGCTGTCAGAGAACACCAGGACCTTCATCCCAGTGTTGCCATTCATCCTGGAGGTTAGTTGGTTCCTGCTGATCTAGGAGAGGCTGATGCCTGTTGCCTAATGAGTATCCGTTTACCATACCCACCAACAGCTCCCACAGTTGCCTGATCTGCTTACACCCTAAATTCCCTGGCAAACACTGTCAGGCAGAATGTATTGTATGGTTAGCAAAGAGGATTAAACTTATATTCTACTGTGAGGGGAGAGTATCTGAGATCAGCTGGGTGCAAAATACGTTCCTAGGTGGTTAAGCTAATGCTGTTGGAATGGGCGAAGGGTGTGCCAAAGAAGAAATTCAGAAGTTCAGCTGCAGTAACACCCTGAGCTGTGTTGTTACTTTATCCTGTTGATGTATCTTAAGAGCTTTTCATAAGCACTTACAAAGGAAAAAGAAAGGAAAAACTCCTCCTAAGAATGAAGAATTTATTTAGGAAAAGTATCCCATAAGGGCAGCCTGGCAAAACAACAATATGTTCAGTTGAATTCTTGGGGCTCTGTTTCTCTTAGGATAATGCCCCACGTATCAGACTGCTGACATCTCTCCACGTACATCTTGCTGTGCTGCTGTGAGAGCACAGAAGTAATGCAGCCATGTTTCTTTGAAGAAGGACCTTTGTGTGAGGGAACAGGGCAAGGTGAGGAACACAAAGCACCAGCAGGTCAGCATAAGGCAGGGTGTTCAACAAGAGTGAGGGAGGCTTCTATAATAAATGACCTGAGTCAGCCAGGCTCATTCCTAATCAAGTTCTGTTGAAGCAAAGGCTCTTGTGGTTTTGTGTTGTTGTAAATGTCCTTCACAAACCACATCCTCTGAGCCTGTGGGGAGCTGGTGGTGTTTATAAATCTCCTCCTATCCCCCCTCCACTCTGCCCTGGCCCTGGCCTGTGTGGCTTTGCCATTTGCCTGCTTCCTTCCTCTTGTTCACACACATTTGAAATTTTGCCAGCCAGATTTAGTGATAGAGGCATCTCTGCTCTGTGGTGGTGGAGCCCGGGGGGGGAGGATGATTCCTCTGCTGCTTGTTTTTTCTAAAGCTCTGAGAGATGCCATTTTCCCCTTGAGGTTGCCTGCCCCCCTCGTTGTGTTCTGGCCCCAACACCTTGGCTGTAATCTGTGTCAGGCTCCAGCCAGATGTTACCACACTGAGTGCTGAGCTTCCTCCCTGCTTCCACCAGCTCCTGACCACATCCTACCCTGCTGTATGAGGCATTGCTTAGCCCAGCTTGTCCAGACCTTGGTGACACAGGAGCAGGGGAAATGTCTGCATGCATGTTGGGTGTGTTGCTCACATACTTTCACATTCCTTTAACTTCCAACTTGGAGTGTTAACCTCAAACCTCCCAGCAGCTTTCAGCCTTTCCCTTCTTCCTGCCTTTCTCCTGCAAGGGATCCCTCAAACACCCTGAGGAATTCCTAGTAGCTGTTTCGTTTGCCCTTCTGTTTCTTCCCAACTCCTCTGATAGAGGTCTCTGAATGCTCTTGCAAATCCTACTTTAGGAGGTTTTGCAGCTGTGCAGGTGAGATGGCAGGAGCACCATTCTCACACAGAGGAGAATTGAAGTGCCTGAAGTCCAAGGTGTCTGGCATTGCTGAGAGGAGAAACCATGTTCTGATGCCCAACTTAGTGCTTTACAATGAGCCTTTTCATACTAGCTCACAAATTTACCCTCTTTGTAGAAGAAACTTCTTTTTTATGTCCAATTGAAATCTCACATCTTTTAGTTTGAAACAGTTTCCCCTTGTCCTGTCTCAGCAGACCCTGCTAAAGGGTCTATCCCTTCTTATAGCCCCCTTTTAGCCACGGAGAGGCCCCTCTCAGCTCTCCCTACAGCCTTCCCTTTTCCAGGCTGCACAGCCCCAGCTCTCAGCCTCCCCTCACAGGGAGATTTTCCATCCCTTGGATCATTTTCATGGCCCTCCTCTGGATGCACTCCTGCAGGTCCATGTCTCCTGTACTGAGAACTCTACATCTGACACAGTACTCCAGGTGATGTCTCACCAGTGCGTAGCAGAGGTACAGGATCACCTCCCTCACCCTGCTGGCCATACTGCTTTTGATGCAGCCCGGAATGTGGTTGGCATTCTGGGCAATGAGGGCACATTGCTGGCTTATGTCCAGCTGCCAGTACCCCTAAGTCATTTCCAGCAGGGCTGTGCTCTATCCTTACATCCCTCAGCTGGTACTCATAGCAGGGATTGCTGTGGCCCAGGTGCAGACCTTGCACTTGGATTTGTTGAAGCTGATCTTTGCTTACACTGGGAGGGGCATAACCCCCCCCAGTTCTCCCACCTTCCAAACCTTCTGCTCCGGGGCTGTGTGTTATAGCAGTCACTAGTGAAGGGTGGGAAGTTATTGAATATGTCAGCCTTGTCCTTGTCTGTTGTTCCCAGCTGCCTGTTTTGCTCACTAAGGGGGAGTATGCCCTCCAAGACTTTCCTTTTCCAGTTGATGTACCAGTAGAAGCCTGTCTTGCTCTTCTTGGCACACCTTGCCAAATTTAATTTCAGTTGAGCCTTGGTCTTCCTGACCCCATCTCTATTCAGCCCAGCAGCATCCCCATAATCCTCCCAGAGTACCTGGCCTTGCTTCCAATGCCTGTGCATTTTCTTCTTGCTCTCCAGGTTGAGCCAAGGAATCGTGGAGACATCATGATCTCATCATGAGACATAGGAATCTAATCAGTGTTGGTATTTTAAGCAGAAACAGACTTGAGGGGCATGTCTGGGGTCAGGGAGCAGATCGAAGCCTTCCCATGCTCCATTTGATGTGAAAGACAGCATACTGCCTAGTTTGTTGCTGCAGCTGAATCCAAATGTGGTCAAGGAATGGCTCTGGAGTTTGTGGCCCTGTTTTGTCTGCATCTGGAGCCACTTGTTTTTTTGGGAAGGCTTTGTATAGCCTTAAAGTAGATTCTGAAAAGCTCTCTGTAAAGGGGGACCGTGTAATGGTTTCCCTTCCCCCTCACCATCAAGGAAAAGCAGCCCTTGCTGCCTCTTGTCTCAGCCCTGTCGCTGCTGTGCTTTCAGGAGACAGTAGATGGAATGTTTGTGCAATTCCCATAGGCACAGGAATTCCCCAAGCCCCTGCCAATAGAAATAAGAACTGTCTGCTTGATGCATCGTGACAAGGGCTGATGCTCCCCAGCACGGACATCCAGTGCTGTGTCCTCTTTGGCTCTACTTTTCAGGATGGAGTGAAAGAAATTGCTGAAATTGCCTCTTAGGCAAGAGGAGATGGCTCGGGAGAGTGTAAAGCAGGCAGGCTTTTATTTTTCAGTTGTTCCTCCCCTCGAAGGGCCTGTGAGATCCCAGGCTTTTAATATTTTTTTCAGCACTTCAATTATTTTGTGACAGGCGTTAGTTTCTGCAGCAGGAGAACTGGTGGCTCATCTGCTGGAAGGCAGGTGTGGATAAACAAGGTGGAAATCTCCCCACAGGCAGGCTTGGCATGCCAATTTAAAATTAGCTTCCCTGTGGAGGGACTGGGAAAGAGGTTAACCCTGAGAAGCTTAGGAAGGTGAGAGTTTTTCACTTTGACACTTAAATGGCTTGAGTTCTGTTTTGGATGTGCAGCTTGCTTTGGAGAAGGTCCCAAGGGGCTTGAAGTCCAACATGTGGGTGGTGGATAGAGGATGCAAAGATTGTGGTTGGAGCTTAGTGCTGGACAATGTTAAACGCTTAAGCACTGGTTTTGTACAAGATCTGGGCTCTTTGCATCCTTTACACAGAGGAGAAATGAGATCTTTAGACTCGCTAGGCTGAGCTACTGCACCCACTGCATATACATTCTCATTCCTCATTTGCATCATTCTCCTCCCTCCACCACTATACTGCAGCTTTTAAGTTGTGGATCACAACTCCTCATGTGTCAGAAGTTGTTCGAGTGAAATGGTGTCTGCCCAATCTAATGGACTCGAATAATGAGACATTTGCCTTGGTGAATGTGGGGAGAGCAAGGGTGGTTTATCTTCACTTTATCAAATCAAGGTATTAGATACCATCTCTCATAACTTCCTCCCAGACAAGCTGATGAATCGTGGACCAGATAAGTGAGTGAGGGGTATTGAAAGCAGTCTCTATATTGGGAGATGCTCAGAAGCTGCCTGGAGCTGGTTCTTGGAGGCCCTACTTGAGTGGAGGTTTGGAGCAGATGACCTGCAGGAGACATTTCTCATCTCAACATCTGTGTGACTGAAGAAGTGAAGGTTCTTCTCAGTGGTATCTAGTGACAGGATGAGATACAATATGTGCAAAATGCAAAACAGAATTAATATGTGCATCTAAAAAAAAAAAAAAGGCAGCTAGTTTGAACTGGAGCAGCTTAACTGGGTGCCTTGGGTATGGTGGGAGGGTGGTGGAGCAGCTGGAGGGGAGCTGCAGGCAGGTCCTGCTGTGCTCAGCATCCCTGCTGTGTCCCCTGCCTGGGGCAGCCTGCCTGGGGCTGATCAAAGCCCTGCCAGGGGGTTTCTGCTACAGCCTGAGAGAAAGAAATGAGGATGGGGTAATAAAGTGAATGTGCTGTGGGTGCAACCTTGGTTCTCTGGTTTTCTGTCAGTGCAGGCTGTATTTCTGAGCACACTGTAGACACTGCCTCTCTGGAAACTGATCACGAGATTGCCCTAAATCCATCTCCTTCCTAACTGTGTTGCCCTGTCCGTTCCTCTGTCTGCTGATGCTCATCACATGGGTCAGATCGCTGGTTTCTGCCATCTTCTGGCCCTCTCATCCATCATTATCCCCTTTCCACCATGGCACAGGATCCTTAGACATCAGTTATCCTTCCATTCTGCTCCCTAGCTGAGCTATTCTATGCAATCTTAAGCTGGGAACCATGTTTTTCCCCCCTTCCCACATATCCTGAGAGGCTTCCTGGTACCTCTGGTTGCATTTCCCTGCTTGCCTTGTGGCATGTAGGCAGCTCCCAGGCTTGGTGCCTTTTGCTTTAATGCATCTGACCTTAGGGATCAATACTATTGTTTTGGCCAAAGAAATAACCGTGCATAACGAGGTTTATAGCATCGATTCTCTAGCTAGGGCTCTTTGTTTTCACAAGCCACCAAGCTTGTCCCTCCCTTCCAAATAACCTGGATTGACAAATAAAATATATAAAAAAAAATCAATAGTTGCCTCCATGCTTTTCTGGCCTGGGGGCATCAGTGTGACCTGACCACCCTCCTTTCCTTCCTACCTTGCCCTCTAGCAGTCTGTGTGCTGTGCTGTCACGTTCCTGGCTGGTTGGGGTCTGATGATGGATGCCTTGCTGCTGCATTGAGAGAATAGAAATTATTTCCTCCCCCAGAGTGAGATTTAAGTTTGTTGAGGATCCGAGTGCCTTGGAGGCAGGGATGTGAGGTTGCATATAGGTGCTCAGAAACACGGGTGGGCAGAACATGTACTGTGTCAGCCTCCCTTATAGGCTGTCATCTGGTGTGCAAATGTTTGCCAGTTGTTGACTGGCTTTTTGAAATGAGAATCCATTACTAATGAGGCTCCCTCGGTTGCCCCTTCTAATCCCCTCATGGGGGTCTTTGAGAATGTGCCCTAATCCAACTGGCTTTTGTAGTTCTTAGCATCTTTCTCCTGAGGTTTGCCCCTGCCAGGCTGGGAAAGGGCACATTTGAACTACTGCTCATTGCAGAAACCTTTTGCTCCTTCTTGTGTCACAGGGCTTCAAGCAGCACAGCATACAGGCTCCCAAACTGTCCCTTCCTAGGGCGTATAAAGAAGGACAGTACCCAGAAAAGGCAATCAGGATTTCTGTGTGTCTTCTCAGCTCTGCTGTTGACTGCATGATCTCAGCAGGACTGTGGTGTGTTTTGAGATGTGATCATCTTTAGTCTCTGTTTCTTGTGTTGTAGATTTTCCAACAAGTGGACTTCAACAAGAGGCCGGGACGTATGAGTGCTAAACCTATAAACTTTGCAGTGATCTTGAAGCTTTCAAATGCCAACCTGCAGGAGAAAGCCTTTCGAGTAAGTGGAACCCCAGCTGCTCACAGTGCCCACCCTCAGAAACATGATCAAAAGTTGCCCTGGCAATGTGTTTTATGATCACATCCCATAGGTTAGAGACTCATTTCCCAAGCTGGTTCCTATCTGATATCTGTTTCTGCATTCCCTACCCAGGATGGACTCATTGACCAGCTCTATGACCTGATTCTTGAGTATCTTCATTGTCAAGCCCACAGCATTGGATTCCCAGAGCTGGTCCTCCCTACTGTCATTCAGGTAAGGTGTAAGGAAGGTATCTCTTGGTCACATCAGGAATGTGAAGAGTGGGATAAGATCTTTTAACCTAACTACAAACTCTAAGTGTGAGGGGAGAGCTGCTCACCTCTTCCTCATCATAGTTTTTGGGGAATTCTGGGGGGGGGGAATGAAGGCATTACATCTAAAACAAGGCTGAAGGTGGGTAAAAAGGGCTTTAGAATGAACCACTCTTCTGGAATACAAAGAGGGATGAGGTGCTATGTGATCCCTGTGCTGACAGATTTCTGACTAGTCAACACAGTTCTTAATTGGTTTAGAATTGCCTAAATTGCTGTATTACCTCACTGTAACTACCTGTGCTCTCATTCTGCCTCCCTTATGGCCTCCACCATGTGCTCTCCACAAGACAGCAATCCCCAAATCCCAAACTCATCCTTCAAAACACCACAGTTCCTATTTCTGTCCCTCTTCCTTGCTGCACATAACAGCACGACTGCAAAGTTCTCTCCCTTCCCTCTGCCACAGCTGCTCTTCCTCACCACTTACGTTTACATAATTCACTGTCTGCAATAAAACTGCCTCGTAGGGTTGTGTGTCTGGGTGTATTGTGCATAATCCTCCCCTAACACCTTGCTAGCTGGGTGGCTTTGGTTTAGAATGAGCTGCGACCTCTGCTTTCAGCAGCAAGATTGCTCAGTGCAAACATGATGGAACTTGGAACTTGTTCCCTCCCTTCCTCTCATTCCTCTCTATTTTTAACTCCTGAGTGGCAGGTGTCATGCTGGCTTGGCAGAGGGCTCTGTGGGGACACACACCTCTCCTCGATGCCACGAGCCAGTGTGTCTGCACACGTTGTCAGTGCGCTGCCTCCGGCTGACGTGGGAGCAGCATCTCAGCTGGGTCCCCGTGCTACAGATCCCCTTGTTTCTGCTCTGTGCAGCAGGCTGGCAGCTGCCAGGCACATGCCTTTGGCTGGGCCCCGCCGCCTGGCACGGGCACTGCCTGGCTGGCAGCCTGCTGCTGCGGTTAATGGGAGCTGACAGGCGCTCTCTGGGCTCAAGGAGCAGCTCCTGCACTCGCTTATCAGCAGTGAACAAAGCCCTCTCCTCTCACTCAGCAGCTGCTGGGGGCAGCAGGGCTGTCGGAGCCGGAATGAGGAGCGGCTGACAGCCCTCTGGCACTGAGGGAGCCCCGTGGCTTCCAAATGTGCCCTGAGACCAGGCTGTGTTTCTGCAGAGAATTAATGCTATTGGATTCCTATTTGGCTGCCGCTAACCACAGCCTCGTGGCGTCTGCTGGGCCAGGGTGCTGAGGTTAGCTTCCCAAAATCTTGGAGAGCCTTCGGGAAAATGTGTGGGGGGAAGGCTTTTCCCCTGGAACAGTTCCAGTTAACTATAAAAATCCATCTGTCCCAATCCTTCCCCTTGCAATGAGCTCACGCTGCTCAGCGTCGTGCTGCAGGGGCTGTCTTCCAGCTGGCCACGGCTGCAGCAGCTCTGGGAGAAGCGAGGCTGAGCTGCCTTCAGCCTGAACTTGGGAAGCCTGCAAGGCAGGAAGCAGCGGGCAGATCAAAGGGGAGTAGAGGCAGTGAGGAGGGAGGCAGCTCAAAGGCTGCTGTTTTCTAGCCAGCCAGCCAGCTGTGTTGACCCCTGGGCGGTCATTGCTTCCATAGGCTGGCTCCCTTCCGTAGGGTCCTATGTGGGCTGGGCAGGAGTTTGCAGAAGGGGAGGAGGTCCTGGTGACCCTACCAGCCTCATGCTCACCCTCTGCTCCCCAATGAATGCTCCCTCTTCTCTGAGTGGGGGGTCGGGGTGGTTTTGGGTTCCCTGGCACACACAGGCCCAGCTGCTTCAGATCATTTATAGCTCCCTGTGTTGTTTGCTGTAAGAGGAGCTGAGGTTTTGCCTTGGTCTCTGCTGGTCTAAAGCATCGGTGTTTAAGGCTGGCAGTTGAACAGAATCAATCCCACTAATCACAACGAGGAACCAACCGGAGATGTTAACGGCGTAGACACGTACAGGCACACATATGTTCTAATTGCTTTTATTCTGGAAAGCAGCGGTCGCTGTGTTTGGCAGAGAGGGGAAAAAAAGGCATTCGGAGAGTCCCTTTTTTTTCTGTCTTCTTTCGCCCTCTTGGTTGTTCCCTGCCTCTTCACACGGAGCTGAGATCTCATTACCTCCCATTAATATCCGTGGCAGATAGCAGTGGGGCTGTGAGGGATTGCCGGGGTCAGGGAGAGGAGAAATGAAGCATACAGCTGTGAGAGTGAGCATATACAGCACCAACCTGCCCAGATAGAGCCTGAGATTTTGCAGGATTTCAGGTGACACTTCTGCAGCGAAAGAAAAATGATAATGTATGTGGCAGCGGATGAAATGGATCTGGGGCTGCAGCTGTGGGGATCAAGTGAGATAAATGGAATGACAAATGCATCTCTCGGTGGAGATAAATATGCAGTGCTTCTAAAAAATAAATATTTTAGAAAGGGTGGGTGAGGATAGGCCAGGCTTGACCAGCAGCAGCAGAAGCATTTTGCTGCTGATTTCTTTGTACTTGCTTGATGGGCTCTTTGCTTTGTGGAAAGGGAGGAAGGTATGTTTTCATGTTAACTCCCATTTGTCTGAGCTGGGTGAGCACTGACAGGTGGAGGTATGCTGGGGATGAAGGGACGAGAGGAGCCCTGCTGCTCAGTGATGGAGAGCATCCTGCAGGATCACACCCAGCAGAGCACGGTGCCCTGACAGAGGGGCACATTTCATACCAACCCACCTGGCATGTAGGCTTGGCAGGAGGGATGTATACCCCTCCTTTGCCCATCTCTCTCTTTTGAGGCAGAGCTTTTGAAAGCCAAAATTAGAGGAGGCAGCACTGTGTTTGCTGACTTAGAAACCCATTGTCTCAATCCTGATAGCATCTGCAGGTCCTGGTGAGATGAAGGCCGTGTTGGGTCTCCTTCTCTATGTCAAATGCTTGGTATATGCGTGGATCTAGCAAGGAGCTTGCTCCTACCCTCCCTGTAGCTGTCTTGGGGCTGGTAAAAACTTCTAGCAGACAGCATGCTGAGCTGGAATTCAAGCTATGGGTCAATCTGGAGACCCGCATCTCTCCTCCTGGCATCGAGAGCATCTGCTGCAGCCTCACCATTCAGCTTGGAGGTGTCAGGGCTGTGCATGGTGGTTTGTACTGGTGGGGAGAAGAAGGGCTTGCTTAGGGACCGAGATGGACAATAACACAAAAACAGGCTCAGTGTGCAGTGAAGTAGTCTCACTGTGTGAGAGCAGCACTGTGTTTCCTGCACAGAGAAAGGGCAAGAGCTGACTTTCTGCAAGTGGGATGGTCTGGCTGGCAGCAGTAGGATTTGTGGTTTCCTGGCAGACTGGCTCTTGTCCCAGCCATCCCACCTAAGCCCTTGGGTCTGAAAAGAAAGGAGTATCTAGGCACAGCAATGTGGGTTGTCCACACAGAGTCATTTTGTGAAGTTTTGTATGGTGACTGTGTGGGTTTGTGCCCTTGAAAAATAGGAGGTGCCAGTCAGAGCTGTCAGTAGTTCAGACACCAAGCCAACTTCACCCCATATGACCCTGCAGATGGCCATCTGGCATGACCTGCACCTCTAGCAGCCCCACACTTCTCACTGAGCTGTGCTGAAGAGCCATTCTGCAGAAATTTCCCCCATCTGCAGTATCTTCTCAATCTCTGCCTTCAATCTCAGCCTGCAGTCTCAAGCCACAGCCCTTGGTATTCCCTTCCTAATAGCCCTAGCCTTAACAAACACCTTCTCCCATCCTAGCTGTAGCTTCTCTGTGCTTTGGGCCACCTTGCATCCACTGTTACTTCTCTGTGCATTTGGTCCATGGTCCCCCATGCTGTCTGCCTAAGCATGAGACACTGATACTTGCACTACAACAGCATCTAGCAGCACCCCATGCTGCCACTGAGATGGGAGATGTTTTCTTGCTGAGAGGCTCTGGAAACGATTACATTGCTTTCATTCTTCCTCTCCTTTCCCTCCTTCCAGCTCAAATCTTTCCTGAAGGAATGCAAGATTGCCAACTACTGCAAGTCTATCCGGCAGCTCCTGGAGAAACTGCAGGAAAATTCTGCCTACATCGCCAGCAGGCGTCAGAAAGCTACCTTCGGTGTGGCCAGCAGGGAGTCTGTGGTGAGTCTGCTGCTTCCATTTGGGCTTCCTGGAAAGACAGTCAGGCTCCGGCTGCTGGGGCCGAGGGGGTGGCAGGGGGGGAAGGGGGGAGGAGCAGATCATGGAATGGGAGCATGGGGTGGGGCAGACGCTCACAAACAACTGAGCTCGGCTGGGCTCTGATGCTGGAGCTGGCAAAGCTCTGCAACCAAGAGATTCATGGAAAATACAGACCATAAATTACAGCCTTGTGTTGTTTGTAATACACATGAGTGTGTGGAAGAGCTTTGCTTTGCTGGGGCATACCCTTTGCTGGGAAGTTTCTTGCTTTTTGTTATCTGCTCCCAATACATAGGTGGCAGTTTGTATCTAAGGAGAAGGGTGGGATTCTGCCTCTCTGTAGGTTTCCTCCCAGCCTGCAGAGAGTTGTCTCCAGTAACACAGAACAGCACAGAACAGTGACAATTCAGACTCCTAAGGCAAACCTTTCCTCGTGGAAACAGGATGATGGAATCAGTACAGTTGTGAGCTGTAAGAACCACAGTCAGGCATACTGCTCTCGAGAGACACCGGTGCATTCTTCTGTCTGCTGTCCATCCTGCTGATAAGATGCTGATCACATTTGATGCCTAGAAAAGCTATGCTGGCCCTGGGTGACGTGTGGGGTCCATCAGTTGAACCTCAGAGTAATTCTGCCTTAGTGCTGAGGTGGAGGGGAGTGGCTGGGGTGATGCTGGAGACCTCCTCTTACCTTAGAAAATGAACTGTTGGCCATCTGACTAACAGGCTGAGAGATGCTGTCCTCCTGAATCAAAACTGGCATTGCTAGGGGTGTTACCTGCTGTCCTTAGTCCTTTGGGGACCTGCTGACATGCTTAACTGAAATTGGGGCCCTATGTAAATTAAGCCTTGTTAGTGAAGCTCCATTTGCTTTGCGTTTGTGTTTATTCAGCACAGTGCCCTCTGCAAGCCTGGTAGCAGGTGAACTGTGTGCGTGTTCCTCTGTGAAAAAGTGATGGCTCTGATTCTTCCTTGCCAAGCAGGAGAGAGGTGAAAATATCTGTGTCTGGGAGGTCGTTGATGGGATCAGAGTGATGGCTCTTTGGCCATGTGGTATCACTGGATATCACTGCTAACAGGTGGAAATGGAGCAGAGCTGTGCTGCAGACTAATGTGTCTTCGGACACGCAGGGGCAGTAACTGCAGGAAAATTATCCTTTGAAATCCTGCCATATCAATGCCTGGACACAGCAGTGTTGTTCTGGGATTAAGGGGCTGATAGAACTGGTTTGAAGAGATGAAATAGTCTTGGGTTCTGTAAATGCATTTCTGGCTGGGGCTGCTTTGCCAGAGGAATTATTTCCCGTCTGGAGCAAAGTGGTTAGGGTTTTGTTTTGTGTTTTTTTGCAGACAGACAGTGCTGTGACCACCCACCCACACTGCAGAGGTAGAGATTTCAGCCCCCAGGGCTCTCTATGGAATGATGGGCTGGGGAAGATCGTGGCTTAGAAAAAAAAAAAAAGGGTTTTCAACTACTCTACCACACAGTCTGCTTTTCCCAGCAGCTCTAGCTGCAACCTCTGTTTTAAGAATGGATTATTTTAACATCTTGCTGCCTGCACAGCTCCTGGCTGATGCTGGTACACCTGCTTGCCCAGGAGCATCGCAGTGTGGGTCTAGCAGGGCTGGTCCCAGTGGGGCAGCTGCAAGCAGCCTGCCTCTGGGAAAAGGGTTAGTGAGGGAAAGCAGGTGGTGGTTTGCCCAGCCTGGTGGGACACTGGCTCTTCTCCTGCAGTTTAAGGGGTACAGCAGCAATGCAAAGTGCTGCTCAGAGAGAATACCTGGATTGCTAGTGCAGAATGCATCGTGTCATTGCCCTGTGAGAGAAGGAAGCCTTTCTTCTCTTAGGGTTAATGGGCTCTCAGTGCTCTTGGGAGTAAAGCAAACAGCCTGCTCAGTGCTTCTCTGGCGTGGAGGATCCTGGCTTATCTCTGTGCCTGGGGACAAGCTCTGTGGCTCATGGCCACGCACTTTCCCCCCTCCTCCTTTGCAAATAGATAGTGTAGGTTTACAAAAAGGACCAAAACTCTCATAGAGACTGGGCTTCCCAGAACGGCTTGGAGTGTCCCTCGTAATCTGGGCTGAGTTTGCCAGGCTGTCTTCAGCATATGCAAGACACTGGCATTTCTGCAGGAGCAAACACTGCCAGAAAAGGGAAGGGAGGAGGAAGCCTGAGGAGGGAAGAAAGGGAGGCCAAAAGTATTTGCATGTCCCCCTTGCCAGCAAGAGCAATTGAAAGCAAATGCTCTCTGGTATTCCCATCCATGCATTTGTGCCTGCTCCACTCCAAGGAGCAGAGCCCAGATTCAGAGCTAATTCTTGCAAGCAACATCCTGAAATGTGACATGCAGAGAAAAAAGCAGAAGCGAGCTTCATCTGTGTTTGTTGATGTTATATTTGTACAGCCCCAGCACCACAGCTTGGTCCTTGCTGGATGTCCCATAGCAGCACACTGATGCAGAGGCAGACATAGAGGGAGAATTGCAAATGTTTGAGGTTGGTCAGGTGGCATCCACTCTCCAGACTCCTTTTGGAGTGTGCAGACTAGAAAGATAGTAGTGTTTCAGTGGCTTTTTTTTTTTTTTTTTAATCTCTGCATGCAGCACACTCTAAAACCAAAAGAGCTGTCTCAGACAGAACAAATAGACATCTAGCTTCCTTAAGAACAGCCTTTCTCAGAAGCTGTCCATACTGAGCAGCATCAACAAATGGCCTGATTACAGCTGGCAGCCTGATAGCAGCCTGATCTATAAGTGGGGTGACTTTGTACTGCTCAGGAATCCCTCCCTGTGCAATGTGGAGCTGTGCTGTCTGCCTGCTGGCGTCTGCAGGGGAGCTGCTGGAGCCAGCAGTGCACCAGCCCTGCTCTTTATGGACCTGTATTAAACCTCTCCCATTGCTCATCCCCTTTTTCTTTCACCTGTTAAATTCCTGCTTGCATATCATGTCTGTGTTGCTGCATGAGGTTGACTTTTTGCAGTGGGATAGAGCAAAGCCTCTGGGCACTGTGGTAATCCACATAACAGGTACAGCTCCATGTGGATTTGAAATTGTCAGCTCAAAAAGCATGTGAACACTTTGATTTGAAATGCTGCCCCCAACCTCTTTCAGCACTAACATTCCTAACAATTAAAGCCTGAAAGAGTTCTTAACCATCTCATTTGCTTCCCAGTATTTGTGGTGTTTGCACCTCCACATCCTTCCAGCTTGGACTTCAGCATTTCTTCCTTTTCTGCTCTCCCATGGTTGGGATGGATCCAAGACCCCGCAAGGAAATGTTTGTTTCAAAAATAAACACTTGGCTGTAGAACAGTGGGAAGAGGCAATCAAACTTCTTTTATACTTAGGTCTTGTAAATGCTTGCATGAGGTTTTTCTGAATTAAAACCAAGAACTGAGCAGACGATCAAATGCTTCCATTGAGAGAGCAGAGGATGGATTTTGTCCTGATAGATCTCTGAGCTGTCCCTTTGCTTCTCTTTGGAGAGCTGTCAGTCACACCACTCCCAACTCAGTGGTTGCTGTTGTGACTGCCTGAATTCACACTCAGTCCTGCTTGCAGCCTTAGCCATGACTGCCAGCTACCTACCCTGAGTGCAGTTTGGGAGAGGCTCTTTAACTCTTAACTCCCTCCATTTGCCAAGGTTGTATTGTAGAGCTGCTTTAAAACTTTCCCTAAATTATCACCCTCTCTGTCCACAGGAACAATGGGAGAAGCAGGTCAAAGAGGAGGGGACACCTCTGACCAAGTACTATGCTCAGTGGAAGAAGCTAAGAGAGAAGGAGATACAACTGGAAATCACTGGCAAAGAAAGAGTAAGAACAAAACACCTTCCTTACTGCACATCACCTGTAAATATGGCAGGGAGAGAGCCATGTCCTGGCAGCAGTGCCTGTGTGCCCTGCCTGTACCCTGCTAGCTTGCCCAAGTTAATAGAGCATGGTTAAAGGAGTGCCAGGGTGAACTTGTCTCTGTCCCTGTTCAGGCTCATGCTGCATGACCATTGGTGAGGTGGGACCTGCTGTCTGCACAGAGGTGCCCAGCCTGCCATTTCTTTTATCTTCTGCCAAAGGGAAGGCTCTGCATCCACTCCTCACGGCTCTGTGTGCAGGAGGTGGGGGTGGGAGCTTTGCTTACATTAGGAGTCTGAAGGAAAGCTGTCTCGATGCTAATGCAATGAAAGTGGCTGAGCTAGGCTGCTTGGCCAGGGAGCAGGAAATAGATGTAATTGGTGTCTCCAGCGTATGGTGGGGAACAATTAAAATAATCGATGGGACATGAGCATGGCTGGCTTTGAGCCAGGTCTCAGAGTGCAGCAGAAGACTTGGGAGATCCTGGAAGCGCTCAGTGCTCTGTGCTGAGATAAGGGCAGGAGGCTGAGGTTCCCTGGGGTAACTGAAGGGCTGTTGCTTTGGCATAGCAAGGCTCAGGAGGATGACTTCAAAAACCAGGGGAAGTCTCAAGGGCAGTGACGGGGACTTGTTCCCTGCTGGAGAAAGTGGGCTGAACGGATCAACTGCAGAGAGAGAGATTTTGGAGTTAGCTTTCAGATGGGCTTGTGGCTGCCTGACATCTTTGCTTGGTGAATGGGGCTGTTGTCTCTCTCGGTGGGGACTGCTAGCTTAATGATGCAGCATTGTGAGCCCCAGCAGGAGAGTGAACACCATGAGGCCCATTAGGGCTGGGAAAATCCATGTCCCATTAGCAGCCATTGGGGGGAAAAAATAATAACAGGAAAAAAAATCAGCCTGGCTCTCAGCTGCCATGAGCTGCAGCTTGCCTTGTGTAACAGTGCTGACACCGTCTGTCCATTTGCTTTTCCCAATGGTTTTTAATGGGATGCAGACTAATCGCCTTCGTGAGACTCAGCAGATAGTGACCTTCTATCTGGGAATTAAAAGACTGACCCCCAAATTACCTAATTACTGCTCCTGGGTGCTGAGCACAGGCTGTATCTGTGAGCTGGGGCTCAGTGTAAGTCTCCATTCCCTTGCTTTGGGATGGCCCCACAGCTGGTAGGGAATTTCTGGGGCCTTTATTTTGAGGTGCCCAACCTGAACAGTTGCAGCCCTGATTACAAACCCGAGTGATGTGTTGTAGGAATGCATGAGGGGTCACTGTGAGACCTTGGGTGACTTTTGCATTTCACTTGCTGCTCCTGCAGAGACCAGGGCTGTGGAAAACAGGGCTCACAGCAGGGACCTGGGCAGTTGTCAGATCTGCATTTCCCTTTCTGTTGGCTGTTCCCTGTGCAGGGACTGAGACACTTCCAACCCCAGCTCTGTCCTAGTTGGGCAGTGCCAGGCTCCTGTCTCACTGCTGCAGGAGAGCAGTGGCAGCTGGCTATGGGGTGCCATCAGGGCAAGAGCTTGGTGCTTTGCTCCTCTCTCTGTCCACCTTCTGACTTCCCATCCTGGTGCTGCAGATGATTGCCTGTAAGTACTCAGCTCCCACAATCAATATTGCTCAGCTGGGGACCATAACCATGAAACAGGTCAGGAGAAATTGCTGGAATTGGCTGCAGGAACAAATGCACAGCTCCTTCTCCTTCCCAGAGGGCTGCCTTTGTGGATGGAGTGTGCCTGTCCCACTGGGGAAGCTCCTAGCAGGGCTGGTGGGGGCCGTGGGCAGAGAGGAGTGCATCGAGGGCTGGGCTGATGGGTGGAAGAGCAAATGAGTTATTACTCATAGGGTGAATGTTTCCAAGCAAGCTAATGTGTGCTAATGCATGAGTGCTTCCCAGGAGGTGTGCAGCCAGGCACAGGCAGCGGGCAGCTGATGTTCAGAGTGCACTTGGGATTTAATTTGCATTCTGATTATCTTCGCCCTGCTGGCCTGAGCCCTGGCAAGTAAATCCTCCCCCTAATCCCCCTCTGGAGAGGTGTAAAGAGCGGTGAGGTGGTGTCAATTGCAAGTACTTAATGGCATTGATATTGGCTGTGCCTGCAGCAGTGAGGCTTGGCCCACTGATCTCCATCAGGGCCAGCAACAGGGTGAGCCGTGGTGCAGACAGACCCTTCAGCACCTTACCATTGAGCTGTGCTGAGTGTGAAGCCAAAAAAACAATGCTGCTATGGCTGCCACAGCTTTTGGCATTGGTGGAATGCTGCTATTTCAGAGATGACCAGAACAGCCTGCATGACTTGCATTCCAGAGCTCTGGGACAGCCAGCTTATCAGGGATGTCCTGGTGAAAAGCCAAGGTGCCAGCAGTGGACTGTCCTTTAGCAAATGTAGTGTATTGCATAAAGCTCAGTGGGGCAGTGGTGCTTTGCTTGTGCTGTTCGCCTTGGCAATGGGCTCACAGATCTATCTGCTGCTCCGTGGTTGGCAGCAGGCAGACCAACTGCTCTCACAGGGCAGAGCCAAGTTCATGTGTCATGCATTTTATGTTCAGAAGTACAAACTAAGGTTGTTCTCACTGTTGGTTTTGTTGCTTCTTCCAGCTTGAAGACCTGAACTTCCCAGAAATTAAACGCAAGAAACTAGATGAAAGGAAGGAAGAAGATAAGAAGGAATTCAAGGACCTGTTTGAGCTGGACACAGACTCTGATGAGGAGAACGTTGGATTCCCCATAAAAGGTACAGCTCTAGGGCTGGGCTTGTCCAGCTTTGTCTGTAATGTGGTGCAATGTAGCTGACCTGGGACAAGAAGTGTTTGCTGTCTCTTGCTCAGAGGGTGGAGATGCAGAAATCCATCTTTTGTTAGGGTAAGAGTGTTGTTCTACCTGATGGCACGCTTGGTCTCCACTCTGTAAGTCATTGCAAACAGTAACTGCTGTAGGGGCTGGCTACCAGAGCAATCATTGATAGGAGAATGGTCATCCCCTCCCTGTGTGCACTTATGATGCACTTATTGCTCAGTGAATGACATTGCAGGTTTTCCTGAGACCCCAGGGAAGTCTGAATGCTCCAGAAATGGAGCGGTGTCACTCACTGGCTGTGACCACGAGGGGGCCACAGTAAATTGTGGAACCTGAAAAAGTTCACCTCGAGGCTTGAGAAAAACTTCTCTTTGTCATTGGGCAAAGTTTGGGCTATTGCAAGTCTAACCAATGTGTTATCATTTATGTAGAAGGGAGACTTGCAGGAACGTGAGATTTTCTTGTTTGGAGATTTGATCTGCAGATAAAGTCTTGTGTGTGGCACACATGAGGCGTGAGCATCAGTCATGAATTAGCACAGAAGTAATGAATGTTGGCTCCCTCACAGGGTGCTGTGATACAGGAGGAAGAAGTGATCAGAAAACTGACCTTGCTGAGGCTGAGGTTGGTGTGTTTTTGTAGGATGAGGTCCTGTGCAGCAGCACACAAAGCTGTGTTTGGAGTTCTTACTGGAAAGAGCCAGTTCCAGAGTCCTGGGGACCTGTAGATCTCTGCAAAGGGGTTATTGAGAGGTCTCACAGGCTTACCCTGTGGCTTGAGTTCTCTGCAGTGTCAGCACCAGCACTGCTGATTAATTTGGGGGCTTTCTACGTGAATGAAGAGGGCGATGGACAGTTGTGTCAATGGGGTCAGACCAAATTCCTAACCCTCTGAAGGGGACTTTCATATGGGTTTGCCTGCACAGTGTCCCAGCATTTCACTCCTAACCAGGCAGTGCTGCCTTATTCTGGTTGCTTTATTTTGGTCTGCACCTGACTGGAAGCAGCATGGGGATAAGTGGCAAGCAACATGGAAGGAAGGAGAGCAGTGAATTTCCAATCATTTCTTAATCTGGTGGATCTGAGGGGAGATTCCCCTTGCTCTCGCCTTATGCTCTGTGCAGGTGGAGCTGAATGGACCCTCCTGGAGAGGCAGGAATGGTGCCCCTTTGGAGCAGAGAAAACACTTGGCAGGCCAGAGTCGCTTGGTTGGGTCTCTGCAAAGTGTGAAGAGAAAGGAGTTTGCACGTTTTAGGAACCACCAAGCAGGCAAGGCTGGAAGCAGCCCTGCGGTGGGGAGGAAAGCGTGGATTTGATCAATGTGTGTCACCAAGGAGGTGGGGGAGCTCCTGCATTCCTCTCATTTCCCAGCTGACAGCTCTCCGGGGGGGGGGAGGCGGCCGCTCCTGGAGATTATTAATGGCTGGGAAAGAGGTGTGGGCAGCCTGGTGGTGCAGCAATTAAAGTGAGGAGGCAGCGTGCAGTGAGCCAGCCCAGCCGTCTGCGTTAGGTGCTGGTGTGCTGCTAATGAACTCAAACGGCTTTCTTCATTTATTCCTCACGTAATCATATTACATCAATTTAATGCCAGGCTGGTGGGGGCCGGGGTGTGGAAAGAGAGGTTAGTTCTATTCTTCTTTCCTAGCAGAATAATCACGGCAGAATTCCTGCTGCATTTGAGGGTCCAAGGAAGGAGATTTGCAATCCTAAGGAGTAGGGGAGCACCCAAAGCTCAAGCCTGACAGTTGTGCTCCTACCTAAGGCTCAACTTCTGCCTGCACAATGCACCAGGACCTGCGTGTATCGGTACAAAAGAAGGCATGCTCCAAGCTCATGGGCTGCAGGGTGTGCAGGAACAGCCCGGCTCCACTCCCTGCCCACAGCTGCTCTCTCTGCATGCTCCCAGCTGAGCTGTCGGCGCTGCCGCCGGCCCTGCCTGATGGATGAGCGCGCGCCGCTGCCGGAGCTCTCAGGTGCCCATCAATATGCTCGGCGCCGGCAGCAGCGCTGCCATCCATCTCCTCAGCTCTCTGCATGGCTGCCCGGGAGGCTCCTGCTGTGAGATGTGGCTGCCCCTGGGGCTGCGGCGCTGACGGATGGCAGTGAGCAGTGAGCTGGCAGCCAGCTTATGGATGGCTCCGTGGCCAGCCTGGCTGGATAGGCTGCTGGGAAGGGAGGATAAGGCAAAAAAAAAGAGATGCCAAAATGAGAAGGATGTGCACCAGTTTCTTAGCAGAGAGACTGACTGATGCGTGGGTAAATGGCAATTTTGGATGCAGGGGAAGGGAGGTTGCAGCAGTGAGCTGGGCTTAGTTTGGGGCTGTAAGGAGGTGAGTAGAGGCTGTGGCTGTGCTCCCTCTGTGCAGAATGCCTTTGCCATTTAGACATGTGGTGACTCATTGCCAGGGAGCAGTCTGATCCAGGGGCTCTGAGGTGCTCCTCTGCCCAGGCCGTGCACCCAGAGGCTCTTGGTGCTGCTTCCCTGACTGCCTTGGACCTGGTTAGGAGGGGATTTGCAGTGACATCTGGTTCTGGACCTTTCTGTTGTGACTTTTGGAGGGAATGAAGCTCAGGGGGTTTACAAAGATGCCCTGAACCATGCAGCCCACATCTGCAATTGTATAGCAGTTGAGGGATGGAGGCTGTACATTATTGCTCCCAGGAACCAGTCCTTTTCTTGGCCCAGCTTCATGACTTGTGCTTTTGCTACATCTGTTCAGCAGCCCCATTTCTCCTCATTGTGCTCTGCTATCCATCTTCCTCTCCCAGCACTCATGTCTCTCTAAGTAGGAAGGTGTTTTCCTGGCCATCTCAAATACCTGTTTGTGAACGAACTCCAGCCAAGGGCCTCTGAAATACTGTGCATTGTTCTCTGGGCTGTAGTGTGAAGGCCTTTGGGCAGCACACCAGCAAGAGCAGTGCACTGAGGTCCCCTCCAGCATGGGGAGGTGAACATTGGGGTGTTAGTGACGTGCCCTTTGTGTGTGCTTCCTGCTCTTGTGCTCCTCTTTGTGTTTCCACTGACAAAGTACAAATACTTACAGGGAAAGCCAAAGGCAAAGTGGCATCAGACGACAGTTCAGAAGCCAGCAGCAAGGAGGACTATGGCGAGGATGATGAGGATGAAGAGGGAGAGTATGAAGTCGAGGAGGACGAGGAAGATTTAGAGGAAGACAGTGACTCAGATGGTGAGTAGTACACCTGGGCAAAGGGAAAAGGAATTATTGATGGCTGGAGGCTAATCTCTGTATCCTGGGGTCTTTCCTACAAAGGAGCTGTCTTCTCTGTTCTTGCTCTGCTGCTGTTTTGAGCTGCAGGGTGTCAGAAGGGCTTCTCTCATACACACTGCATGGACAGGGAGACCTGTCAGTTCTGTGCTCACACTGAGAAGAGAGCTAAAGGGTTAAGGTCTTTGCAGCCCCTGCTCTAACAAGCCACCAGCCCCTTTCATCTCCGTGCAGGGGCCTCATGCAGCGAGGCTCAAACAAATGCTTGAAGTAGAGCCCACCCCAGCAGGCTTTGCTTGAAGGCTCCCCATGGGTTACTCTTGCAGGGGAGTGTGGTAGGGGTACCTCACCTTTCCTTTGAGCAGTGCCAGGGGCACGAGGGGCTGCACAGGGGTAACCCTTAGCAGCTGCTCCTCCCAGGATAGGACAGCTAGGAGATCTTGGCCAAGCCCTGCATTCATCTGGTTTTTGTACACTGTAGGTAAGCAGTGCAGGCTCTGGAAGAAGCAGCTTTGTTCCGTGCTTGGTCCCGCTTCTCCCAGCATGTAGTGTTGGTGTGGTGCTGGGCCAGCAGCTCTGTGCCATCCCTGCCTCCTGCACGGAGCCGCAGCCAGCTCAGAGCCTTCTCTGTGCCCAGCAGCACAGTAACCACGTTCAGCTCCTGCCTGCCCCTGCCAACTCGCTGCGAGCTGAGCAGACGAGAGTGGGGGCTGCCAGAGCTCTGCTGCTCTGCTCTTTTCTGGATTGGTTTATTTTTACCATCACTTTGAGCCTGGGTGTCAGAGGACCAAGCCTCTGCTCCACTGCATGCTTTTGGGTGTGATGTGTGGTTGTGGGGAGCAGCCACAGAAGCTCCTGTGCTGCTGCCTTTCTTTACCAGTTTGGGGGGCAACGAGAGCAGGAAGGGGGAAAGAGTCCAAGTGAGAGCAAAACCTGACTGATTTCATGTGGCAGATGGCTGTGGCTTGGCATGCACAGCCCACCCTCAGCGCCCAGAATAGATGGGTATTTGGTGCATGTTCTGACAACGCTAAAGGATGGGGAGAGAGCATTTTCCCTCTCTGCTCTTGGCATGTGCAGATGAACTTAGTGTCTGGGGAGCAGGAACTCTTGGTCCTCCCTTCTCTCACCCATGGTGGCAGCTTCTTTCCCTCTGGGCTGTGCTTTCACTGACTGAACACCCATGGGTGGCAGCAGGGCATCACTCAGGGCAGACAGATGGGTCCTCCAGGCCTTCAGCTCCAAGCTGAGCATCCCTGCCCTGCTTTTCCACAAAGCACACGTGCACACAGGTCTGGCAGTGGAACAGGGAAGAGCTCCAGCAGGTCAGAGCCTGTGAGACCAGAGGTAGGAACAGGCACAGCAGTGACTTTGCTCTCCTATCTCCCCCAGTACTCCGAGCCAGCACTGTACATCACCCTGCAGCACTCTCCTACCGCTATCTGGGAGCTGCGGCAACACTGATAAATTAATGAGTGTCTGGCATTAATTAGTGATGAGTTGCCTCCACCTGCCTCAGTACAGCAGGATTTACACCTCTCCCTCCTTCCACCCCCAGAGGAAGACAAGGCAGCCCCTAGGGGCTCACAGCGGGCACAGAGGAGCAACCCCCAGGCATTGTCACGTTCTGACCTCGAGCAGCTGGCCCAGGGCGAGGAGGATGTGGTGGAAGATTTGGCTTTCTCCGATGATGACTGAGCCCTCCCCGACCATGCAGCCCCCCTGGCTGGTTCTCCAGGAGGCGGTAAGCTCTTGGGGCAGGAGGTGTGGGCCCAGCCCCAGGTGCTGCCCCCAAGGACTGTTGCGGTGAAGCACGGCACTAAAGCTGCCTGGACTTTGCAGGTTTTTAGACCCATGGTTTTTGGTAATGTTCTGTGGTCACATCAAAGCCAGTAAAACTGGTGTAAGTAATAAAAAGCCCACATTAAAATCTGGTTTAAATAATACATGGGTCAGTTTCAGCTCCTGCTGGAGCAGCTGACCAAGTGGGAAGGACAAGCTCTTTGCATGAGGACCTCCTGTTTGCCCATCCAACCACCTGTGGGCCCTGGGGTTCTCTCCAGACCCTCCCCCCAAGGGCTCTCAGGGGTTGTGTAGAGCATTTAGAGCTTTATCACTGCAAGTGGGAGCCTTTTATCAGCAACACTGGGATCATCAGATCCATCTGCCATGCTGGCCGTATGTATGCTAAAGAAATTCACCTTAAGGAACAAATGTTGAGCTATGAAAGGATGCAAAGGGAAGGGGTGAAAGTAGGATGGAGTAGGAAAAGGTAAAGCTAATAGTGTAAGGAAATACATAAGTGTCCTATAGCCCCATGCTAAGTGATAACTCAGTGCCTGCAGATGTGACTGAGCCCTGCCTTCCTACACACTGCTGCTCCCAAACATTACTGCACAGGTAAACAGGCAGTTGTTGCAGTAATACAGCAGTGTGGGCTGTTTGCTTTATTCTGAGCTCACAGTGTCTTTTTGGAGGGGCATAAACAGGAACAGAAAGGGTGTATTTTTTTCCAACTGCACTGACAATAATTATCAGCCCCAGAGTCCCAGAAGGGGGGGGAGGAAGTTTCCTCCGAAATTAATAATTTATTGTTATATTTACAGCTCCCCCTGTGGGGGCAGAGCACCTGCTGCTTTATTGGGGCTTCAGAGCTCAGGGCTGAGGCTCTGTACCTCTGATGGCAGGGACATACAGGAGCTTGGGATGGAAACTTTGGGGCCCTGCCTGCAAAACAAACATGTTCACTTACCTTCACTTCATGTAAGGTAGCTGGGCACGGTGCTTATTGCCCCCACTTCCCAGTGGCAGCAGCACAGCACACAGCAAGGAAAGCATACAGCCATGCCAGGGGCTCAGGAGGCCAGGTACTGTTTGTAAACTGAGTGGTGTCCTTTTTTATTTAAACTGATTGCTGGAAAGCATCTTTTTATTGTGATGTGATGGATAATGACAAGGGGGGAGGGGCTGGGTTTTGTTGTTTTTGTTTTTTTTTTTGCTTGTTTCTCTTTTTTTTTTTTACAATATAAAGAAGCTAATGTACCACCAAGCTATTGGGTAAGAAAAAAAAAAAAAATGGCAGCACGTGCAACGTTTCAACAAAACAAAAAGAGGGGAGAGAGAGAGAGAGAGAAGAAAGTACCACATGTGATTGTTTGTGATTGTTGCTCACAACTGTACAGGTCACAGGAGGTTGCCCCCAGGAGTTACCATTGCATTCACAGTAGTCAAAACTCTGCCTGCTGTTTTTACCCCCCAGCACAGCATCCTCCCCCTCCTCTGCTGGGGGCACACAGGGACCTCTGTCTCATGGTCTGCAGCAGGCCTGAATGTGCAACGACAGCCACCTCTGTAACAAGGCTTGAAAAAGAACAGGAATCCTACAAACAAACCAACAACCAAAAAAACCCCAAAGGTATATAAATGAGTCCGCAGTACACGTGACCAGAGTGGGGGGGGGGTTAATCCTGAACTCCCCCAATGAGCACACACTCATTTCTTCTTAAAACTCAAGCAAATCCAGCTCTGCAGGGCTGGGCAGAGTCCAGCAGTGTGTGCATAGGCAGCCCCACACTGTCTGTGCCGTACCATCCACACCAGAGTAAACATGGACCAGAACTTGCCTTTTTTTTTTCTTTTTTTTTTTTTTTCCTTTTTTTTCTCTTTTTTTTTTTTTTGTAACTTGTTGTCTTGTCTTTGGTATTGTTTGCAAAAGTTCACTTAGAGATGCATAGACACCTGAATGGAGGAACTGAGCGCAGTTTCCAGGGAGAGGAGGAGATCCGTGGGAAGGGGGGGAGGTTCTGTTTGTGATGGATGTTGTGCTCAGCAGTGCTGAGTCCTGATGGAGGAGCAGTGCCAGTCCCCCCCCAGTGCCTGGAGCTCCTCGAAGGCAAAAAGCATTCCCAACAATCACAGCTCTGCTTTCCCAGTGCGTGAGAAGGCGAAGGGAATGGTACCACAGCCCTCCAGCACTGCCTCCCTTCTCTTCATCACTTGGCCTTGTCTCAATACATCTTTGGATAGTTTATTCCTTCCCTTTTGACAGTTTTTTTTTTTACTGTTTGTGTGGTTTTTTTTTTTTCTTTTTAAGCAAAAAAAAAAAAGCAAAACGCATCCCAAATAACAACAAATCAAACCCTCCTTCCTCGCTCCTCCGTCTCACGCTGCCAAGGGAGGCTCTCCTGCTCCCCAAACCTTCCATTTATTCGACCCATCCTCAGTTCCAGGAGCAGCTGGGAGCTGTTAGGATGGTGGTTTGGTGGTGTCGCTGAGCCCAGCCCCAATGGAAGGGTTCCCATTCTCCTGCTTCGGGGAGATACGGCTGGCAGAGGGCAGAGCACTGCTGAATGGGGAGGACACACTGCCCGTGGATGAGGGCCGCAGCTCAGCTGGGGGAAGGTCCCTCTCTGGTGGCCTCAGCCCTGGGGGCTGCAGGGGGAAGGCCATGGGGAATCCAGCCATGTAGAGCACCCTGCCCACTCGCTTGGCGACCTGTTGGAAAAGGGAAGAGCGTAAATGCAAGGGTTGTATTTTTCCTGCTGCTTGTTTTGTGTCTGTTCTAAAGGGAAGCTGGCAGCACGGTGCTGAACCAAAGTCCACATCCAGAGCTGTAATGCTCAGGTCTTGCTGTCCCATGAAGGGTTTGTGGAAACATGGAGAAGCTGGAGCCTGCTTACCTGGCCAGGTGGAACCCATGCACATAGCCAGGTGAGGGGAACCAGATGCCCACATCCCTGGCCAAGTGAGGGGAAGCTGGAGCCCATATACGTGGCCAGGTGAGGCTGCAGTGCTGGTGGCAGCAGTGGTTAGAGCAGGTCCTGCTGCCCTCCTACCTGGGCTCCCTGCTGCCTGCAGCTTCCCTTTGAGCTGGGTGAGGGATAGCAGCCTGTTAGCTGTCCCACTGGCAGGCAGCACTGGGTCAATAGAACCCTTCTGCTCTCCTCCAGCTCACCCCAAACCTACCAGTTAGGCTACAGGATGGTCCAGTGCCCACTTCTGCACAGCAGGACCAACTCTAAGAGGAAGAAGGGGAAGAGGGAAAAAAAAAAAGAAAAAAAAGCCTGGCTATGGGGTGCACAGGAAGCCATGAGCCTGCAGCCTCTCCCTTCCCGCAGCAGCTTTTGCCTCCCAGCAAGGGCCAAAGGCCTCCCAACTTCCCAGCACCTACACAGCTGGTTCACATTTAAGCTTAAACAAAAACACAGGCATGTGCTCCAACCAGACAACTGGGGCATTATTCAGTTAGCTGCATCGGGACGCTGCTCCCCCCCCTCGCTCCCCATGCCTTATTATAGAACTTTAAACACTATTGATTAAATTGAAGCAGGGTTTTTCTAGCTTCAGCCCGTATCTCACATTCTCCCCTACCAAATCCAATCTCGGTATGTCTGTGAGCTATTTGGCATCCTCTGTTTTTTAAGAAACATAAGAGTTTTATTTCCTGCTGAATTGACCCACGGGGAACAATTGCCCACAGAACCTTTTTATTAGACCCCTCATAAACAGTGAGGGCTGTAGGGAAAGTAGTAAACTCACCATTATTGTTTTACCATCATACAACAAATGCACAGCTCGTGGGTTAGGAAAACCCTGTGTGAGCAGTGCCTGCATCATGCTGCCAACCCAGCTACCAGCATGGCACCTTCTGGGGATGGCACCCCGTGTGCTGTGCCCTCTGCAGCCAGCTCCCCACTGGCAGTTAATGGAAGGCAATGAGAAGCTGATCAGGTAGATATGTGAGCTTGTGGGGTGTTTTGGAGGCCAGAATGAGCCTTCTTGAAACCAGACTTAGATGACTGACCAATTGCAGCTGGGGAAGTGGCCCTACCTGTGAGCGTATCTTCAGTGCTGGCCCCAGCTTCAGCCCCATGTTGTTCAGCAGGTGCTCCTCTGTCAGCAAAGGCAGGGTCTCACCATCAATGGCCTGCTCACGGAATACCTGCAGGGAAGGGAGCAGGAGCTGGGCTCAGCACAGAGCAGCAGCAGCACTGCAGGCCATTATACATGCACAAGACACAGGAGAAAAGCATCTCCACTTTGACAACCCCTGGGTCATTCCTACTGTTTGGAGAAAGCGGACCCATCTGGCTTGTAAAGTACAGCAGCCTTCAGTGGGCACATGCAGCCTCACCCTGCTGGCTGATAAAAAAGCAACTCAATAGAACACATTCTAATGCACCCAGCCATGCAAAACTGTGCCGTTTTAATGCATTTTTAAACCTGAAAAAATAGTTTTGCCACTACATCTCAGCTGGCAAGGTGACGCAGGAGTTTTGTGCTGTGAAGGTCTGCACACATGGACTCATTGCTCCTGCAAACTAAGCAAGCCAGGGTCTGGGCCACGTCAATCCCACGCCCACTGTGTTGGTTTGTTGGGTTGTTGCACCCCCTGGCCTTTTCCCACACGAGCATCCCAATCCCATAGCCTCCTCTGCAGGGGCTTTGCATGGCACTGCCATCACCGAGCAGCACAACGAGGGCAGTTTTCCACTCCCTGTCAGATCGCAGGCGATGTTTTTTATTGCTGGGCTCCACAAGCAAAACTGCTTATGACTGCAGTGTGTGTTTCTGCTCTTTGACCCTGCGAAACTTAATATGCCCGTTTCCTTCCTCCAAAGACAGCGTGGCCAGGAGCCAACAGCCTCCCTCCCTCAGTGCTAAAACCCAAACCGAGCAAAGCATCCTCCGCAGCTGTCCCATGGGTGCTGAGCCACCACGGGGACAAAGCTGCATATTGTTGCTGAAGCCTCATCTGCCCACGATGCCCGAGGAAAGCTGCCAAGACCAGAGCTGTGTGCCCACAGGGATGGTGGCACGGATGGCATCCCCAGCACTGGGCATTACCTGAGTGTACTCAGTGCAGCCCGCCAGGTTGGACACGAAGCTGCACACGTCCTCCACTGTCCATTTGCTGATGTCCTCCAGTGCTGGGCTCTCATCGCCATCCAGAAAGAGACCTCCCATAGTGCCTGGGTCAGGGGTGGGAGGGAGGGGTGGGGAAAGGAACATAAATCATTAAAATCCCACACGGACAACAGCCAGCCTGCAATCTGAATATTTTTCTCTAGCCACACATTCATCTTTAATGACCTGTCAATTAAAGCGTTGGGCAGGGTCAATTCATAGCTTCTTCCTCCTGGAGGTCCCCAGCTTAGCAAGGGGGGCAGGGAAAGGAAAAATCCTGGCTAATGCATTGCATGTGTGCAATGTGCTTCAGCTGCAGGGAAGAGACGGGGGAAGGGAGCAAAGAGAGGGGAATAAAGGGGAAAAAGGCACAGAACCCAGAAAAGCAGAAGCTCTGTACCCTGGGGGGGGGGGGGGGCTGTCCCCTGCTCCAGCCCTGCTCTGCTGCGCTGGCAGCTCGCACAATGATAACAAATAGGCACCGGGCAGCTCCGAGGGATGCACCTTCTGTTCTAATAATGACATGTCACCGGGTGCTGCCGGCCTGGAGGATGCGAGAAGGGCAGCGTTGTTCCCTGCCAGGCCTCTGTCTGCCTCGGTGATAAATGATGGTCCGAGGGAGCGGTAATGGATTGTGGAGCAGCACACAGATGGGGCCCAGCGTGCAGCACCGAACGGCGTTCATCGTCCCAAGGCAGTGCCCCATGCACAGGTGTCCACAGCACAGCCCTCGTGTCCCTGCTGCAAGCCAACCCGAGCCAACCTGCCCGTCATTTTTCCTCCAGCTATTTTGGAAGAGCTGGGAAAACTCCGCAGCCTCTGCTACAAGGATGCACGAAAGCAAAAAAGCCCTTAGGAAAAGACCCAGGGCTCGCTCTGCGAAATCAGCAGCGAAATCAGAAACGCTGATCGCTGCCAAAGCCTGCAGACAGGCTGGTGATGGAAATGCGAAGCGATGATAATAAATGGCTGTTACAGGAACTGATGGTGCCGGGGGCAGCGAGCCCACCCGCAGCACGGCTCCCCGCCGAGCCCCAGCGCCGCGCTGCCTCCTGCTAATTGCTCTGCTAATTGCTGTGAGCTGAGGTGGGTTCGGGCTTTTGGCTGACGGAGAGGTGGCGGTGGATTCCCTGCCTTGTCCCATCCATGCAGCTTGCTGCAGGGGGCAATTACACACACACACAGCCCAACCATTTGGGCTTGGAAATTGGGTGACCGCCTCCCTTCCCAGCACACCACTTCTGGCTGTTCCTATTAAGAATTTCCACTGCCTCTTCCTGAAGCTGTCCATGGCCCCCAGTGAAGGTCCTCGCAATTGGGAGATGTGTCCATCCATCACATTAACCACCCTGTGCGTGTGGCCGAGACTCAACTTTGTCCCTGCTAGCAATTATTCCCATCCTTGTCTTCCCTCAGTGCAAATGAAGACCTTTAAGCTCATTAAAAAGTGTTCCCGCAACCACAGAGAAGAACCACAGAATCATTAAGGTTGGAAAAGACCACTGAAGACATTAAGATCACCCCTGCCCCATCACCACCACGTCCACACACACAATCACAAAATCCTTAAAGCTGGAAAAGACTTCTAAGATGCTGACCCACCACCATGTTCACTCAGAATCATCAAACCATAGAACCATTACGGCTGGAAAAGACCATCAGATCATCACAGCCAACCGCTGACCCACCCCACCACGTCTCCATGGTTTTTGAACACATCCATGGGTGGTGACTCCACCACCTCCCTGGAGACCCTTTTCCCAACACCCAGCCCCGTTCTTCAGCGTGCTGCTGCACCCCAAAACCCACCTGCATGGAAGTAGGGGCTCATGGTGTATGGGAAACCGAAAGGCAGCGGCTGAGGCGGCGGGATGGAAGCTGGTGGCAGGTATTTCACCTCGCTCTTGTTGATGCCAGCACCAAGCAGGTGGCTGGGGGACTCGGCACTGGAGGAGCTGCAGGGCGCATTCTGGCTGCCAGTCCCTTCGCCCAGCTCCTTACCCCCCTCGCATCCCTTGCCCGTCTCTTTGCACTCCTTCAGCTCCGTGGCTGAGCCGCTGCTCTCTGCCTTCAAGCTCTCAGGTTTCTCATCGCTGACGTCGGCGTCGCTCTCCGAGTCCTTCATCTCCTCATCATTACAGTCCTGCGCTCCATCCCGCGCCCGCGGCTCCGCCGGTTCCTTGGCCTCGCTGCTTCCCTGCGGCTCGGCACGGTGATGCGCCGCCTTCCGGCTGCCCCGCCGCGGCTGTTCCTTGGGCGGCGTGGAGCTGCTGGGGATGCTGGGGTTGAGGGACAGCAGGGGTGCGTTGTTGTGCCGCAGCACCAGCATGGCGTTGCGCCGGGACAGCTCGTCCCGCAGCGGGTGACCCTCGGGGATGTCGTGCACGTTGCGCAGGGCGGGGTGATCCGGGGGCAAGCCGGGGTGCAGGCTGAGAGGGTCAGCAGCCAGCAGTCGTTGCCGGTGAAGGTTCTCCAGCTCCTTCTGGCGGATGATCTCAGCTGACATCTCCAACCTGCAGTGAGAGAGGTGGGAGAAGGTGGATAGGGGGCTCGCTCCAAGGGAAGCTCGCTGATCACGGCCTCGCTGGAGCCTGGGGGTTCCTCAAGTACAGCCCCTGCACACCCATAGCCATTTGTCTCATCTGGCCGTGCTGGTTAGGCACAGCTCCTCCAGACTGGCATCGTGCACCATTCCACGGGTGAAGGGGAAAGGCAAATGGAGGCAAAACAAGGCAGTGGAAGGAAAGGGAAGGGAACAGAAGGCAATGGAAGGTAATGGAAGGCAATGGAAGGAAAGGCAACAGAAGGCAAAGGAATGGAAGGGAAAGGAAGGAAAGGCAGCGGAAGGGAAAGGAAAGGAATGGAAGGCAAGGGAAGGCAACAGAAAGGAAGGCAAAGGAAGGCAACAGAAAGGAAGGCAAAGGAAGGCAACAGAAGGGAAGGCAACGGAACGGAAAGTTATGAAAGAGAAGGGAAAGTAATGGCTGGTACCAGAAGTGAACGGAAGACAAGGGAAAGTAGTCAAAGCCAACGGAAGGCAACAGAAAGTAATGAAATGTAATGGAAGACAAGAGAAGGTAATGGAAAACAACAGAAGACAATGGAGGGCAGTGGAAGGCAACGGGAGGCTCATCCTCTGCACTAACCCTCTGTACTCCTTACCTTGCCAGGTTTTGCTTTCGTAGCATCTCTTGCTGCCGTGCAAACATCTCTGCTTGTGCCGGCTGTAGGAACCCGTAACCTGGGGACAGGGAGGAGAACATGGGGTTATTCATCTCTGCCTTCAATCCTGGCTCACCCAGAGCCAGCTCTCCAGAGGGCTGTGCAGGGAAGGGCTGTGCTCACCTGGTGTCTGGCACAGGGCTGAAGGCACCCCGAGGAAAGGAGGTCGCAAGTGGGGCCCCAGGGCAATGTGGGGAGCGTTCTGGGGTGAGAGCAGAGGCGGTGGGTGGGTTATCTCCCTGCAGGAAACAGAAAAGAAATCCACGCTGAACACCTGGAAGCAGTGATGGGAAGGTGCTGGCTTAGGCAGAGCATCCCTTCTCTGCACCAAGGCTGAGATAAAAAGATGTCCACTGCCCATATGTAGAACTTGAAAAGCAAGCAGGGAGCAGAGTCCATGCTAAGAAATGCTTTGGGAGCTGGGTGGGCTGGTCAGTGAGCTGCAAGAGATCTGAGCTGCAAGAGGTGTGAGGGGTGGGAGGGGGACAGTGCATGGAAGCACAGCAGGTACAGCTTGCTTGCAAAAAAAAAAAAAAAGAGAAAACAAGAATATGCAAGAAAGGAATAGGAGCCAAGGTCTCTTCCATTAGTCAAATCTGCCCTGGGAGCCTGCAAGCAAATCTCTGCTTTCCGGCTGCACGTCTCTTAATTCCTTTTGATGGCCACTTACAACATTATTACCTTCACCGGGGCATCCAGAGGCAGAGCCAAGTGCTGCGCCATTTATTTTCATTTTACAGCATCTCCCCATAAAATCTGCTTTGGGAGAGACTGGAAGGCAGTGGGGAGGAATGGGGATGCGTGAGTGTGGGAGCAAGGGGAGAACCCCAGCTGGGGATGGATTGCCACGGGCAGATGGCTCTGCACAGCACTGCAGCTTTCCAATGCCCGCTGCAAGAGAAGGATGCTGCCCTCTGAAATTCCTCCCCTCCGCTCCCCTTCCCGGCCGCCTCCGGCTCTCCTTCCTTCCCTCCCTCCTTCCTTCCTCCCCTAGCTCTCCTCTAAACTAATTGCACAGCTCGCTGTGTCTGGAGGAGAGCCACGGATCGATCCGTCGCTGCTGAAATGTTAATGCTAATCGTATAACCGCTCCGCCAGCACCTCGCACTTCGGTGGCAGCTCCAATTAATCTCAGGTAACGCAGCGCCGTGACCTTCGGCTCCGAGCCGGGGCAGCAGCCAAGCGATGCTTATGTAATTACACCATGAAGTGTGTAATCACCTGCCCTAATCCCCGAGGCCTCACAATTAGCCGAGGCCTCGGTCGCTGGGCTGCCAAGTGCTTTGCCACCCCGGACAGCCTGCAGATGAATAACGGACAATTAAAGCGGCATGACGGGGGCTAGGAGGTGTCCGTTCGATCGTAATTAGCTGTAATCATGGGGAGACGAGGCTGGCAGACGTGCTGTTCGTTTTATAAGAAGCAATTTAGGGAACAGAGTCGTTTTTAACCGTTCCCCGGCCAGGGTGCACCCCTGTATCTGCGGGCACGGAGAAGAGGAATTGGTGTGGGGAGAGCAGGGCTGCCCACAGAGATGCTTACAAACCCACGTTGTAGCTGAGAAGAGTCAATCTGTGCTGGGGACCAGGGCTGGGCATGGGGAAAATGGAAGGCTTTCTCATTAGTGGCAAGCAGAGCGTTAAGCAGAGGATGGTTTTGCGCCGTAAGGTTGCGCGCTGTGATCCCAATGGAATCCACACCCACTCTTGTTCAGCCCCTCTGCTCCAAGAGGAGCTGTGCCACCCCCAGCCCTGCAGGAGCTGGGATGCTCAGGGCTGGGATGTGATGCTCTGCTGGGAAGGAGGGACCGTGCTGCCATGCACAGGGCCAACACCAGCAGGGACCCCAATGGGGAAAGCAGTCTCAGACCAAACCCCAAAGCCTCCCTCAGGTTGATCTCAGCCTTCAGCCCCATTCCTTTCCTTCCTCCTCTTCTTCTGCCTCCCTGAGGAAGGGCTGAGCTGCACTCCCAGAACACCACCAATGCAGCCCTGGGCCATCACATCCGATAAGCCTCATCCTTTCTTTGCAGAGTGCAATTCTGTTACTGTGAAAGTGTTCCTGCATACTGCCCCCAGCCCTCTTTCCCCCCTGCCATGCAAGCTGGAGCCTCCCGAGCAGAGTATTAGGGGATTTGCACTGCACGCTGCTAAATTTGATATGTCCTTTAACAGGAGACAAATGGTTCGCAAGGCTTAAAAAGTATTGACTTTTCTTTAACAATAAGCGCTAATGGCCTTCAAATAATCAATATTTAAAGTCATTATGGGGTTACACATTATACTGTTAAATCAGAGCCTCACGCTTTAACCCCATCGCATCCTCCCAGCGCACTGCAAAGGCTGCGATGGGAGATGGGAACAGGGCTGGGAACGCAGATTGGAAGCGGCAAGGCGTGGAAATAAATTTAGAACGGCTGGAAGAAGGGGGAATAAGAAGGCATGAGAGCTCTGCTCCCTTCTGCTCTGCGTTTGATAGGAAGAGACACTTGAAACCCGAGGTAAGAGGCAGGCGGCACGCAGCTCGGGGCTGGCTGGCTGTGCTGGCAGCAGGCTGCAGCCATCATCACGACACCTCCCAGCTCTATCCTTCCTTCTTCCAAATCTTTTTATATCTCCAACCCCAAGAGCCCTCCCCTACAACCTGCCTGCTGTAGGAGCTCCATCCCTGAGCAGCTCACCTGGAACCCCAGCCCTGTGCCCACCAAGCTGCTTCTGCTGCTGGGAATGGAGGTGCCATCCACCTGCGTACAGATATGAGCCCTCCGCCTCCATCACCACCTCCTCAACGCTCAGTGCCCACCTGAACCTTTGCCATTTCTTATCCCTTTGCAGCAGAGGTGCACAAAGGCTGCTTTGATTTACCCTGCTTTGATTTACCCTGCAATAGAGAGCATGGCAGCCAAGTGCACAGCCCACAGCTGACAGCTGCAAGCAGAACCCACAGCAAGAGTTACCCCATGGCAGGAGTTAACCCATGCAACGTTTTCCTGCTGTGCAGCATCCAAATGGCTCCTGGGGTGCTCAGGCACCCAAGGACACTGCACCTGGAGCAGGATGCACAGACAGGGCTCTGCAAGGTGGGTGTCTCAGGCCTGAAGCTGCTGGATTGGACCATGCTTCCTTTGCTTCCCTGCCTCATTCCCACTGACACAACTTGTTTTGCTTGCGTGCAAGCTGGCGTGTGGGTGCCAACATCCTGCTCTGTGCTGCACTGCTCTGACTGCAGTTCTCAGGGACCTTCCTATAGCGTATGCTTTCAAAGCAATGGAAACTATCACAATGAGGGAAACTGAGGCTGTAGGGCTGCACACACAGCCAGCAGCCTTATGGATGTGCTGGTGGTGTTTTGTGGCATCGTGGGTATCCAAGATGGGGAGGTGGGGGGTTACCCAAAGGGCACCTGGCAGGGGAAAGTCTGCGCCCAGCCCTGTGGGATTCCTCTGCCCCAGATGGAAGATGGAGGCTGCAGCTCCTGTGAGCATCCCCACCTCCCAGATCTGGTGGGGACGCACACAGCATTCAGTTCATTTCCCTCTGGAGTTGCTGATTGCAGAGGGCAAGGCATGGGAGGGGAGGGGAGGGCTGGCTTCCCAGCATTGCTGGCAGTGGGAGAGAGAAGCCTCGCCTCCTTCTTCCTCAAAAAAAAAAAAAAATAATAATAATAATAAAAGGAAATTTCTTCTCTTTTTCTTCCATCCCAGCACATTCCTTCTCTCTCTCATCTGGAGAAGCCACAAAACACAAACTTCAACATCTCCACTCACTCCGGGCAGAACCAGGCGGGGGGTCTGGGCTCCCCGCAGCCACAGGGTGGGCGCATCGCCTCCTCAACACCCCGCATTACACCTGCATGAACTGCAGCCCCCCCTCCCCAACCCCTCAGCGGTGGGTTACCTGTCAGGGAAGTGGCTGTCCCTGTGCTGGGGGAGGCCCTGCTTCCTGCGCTGCGAGGACGAATTGCCAGCAGTGGGGATGTGAGCTTCCATCGCTCCCGGGTTCCGCGCAGCCGCCGCCGCCGCCACCTCCTGCCGAGCCCGGAGGAGATCTGGGGAGAAGGGAAGCGATGAGCCCAGGCCCCATCAACCCCAGGATCCCTGGTATCCCCCCACCTCCCCCTCTCAGACCCCCTCCTTCCTGCCCCATTTCCCCCTGTGCTGCTGCCGGCTCCCTGTGGGCGACAGCGCTCCTCCAGCTCCCCCTTCCCCCTGTCCCCATCCCCCCCCCTTCATCCCCGTGGCCCTCGGGCGACAGCCACCCCCCCCCCAATTCTTCTTCCCCCCCCTCCATCTCTGCTGTCACGCGGCGCTCACTCGGCAGAGCGGAGCCGCCTCCACCTCCGCGGGAGTTTGGCAGCAGAGGAAATTGTGCAACTCTGGGAGAAGGGGGGGGGGGAGTGGATGGAGGAGAAGGGGGACAGGGCGGGGGGGGGCTTAATTGCCTTCCATGGCAGAGGGAGGGGAGGAGGAAAGGGGGGCCCCCCCACGGCCCGCGCCCAGCCCGGCAGCAGGATGCTGGTCCGGCAGGTTGCTGCACGCTCGCTGCTGCTGCTGCGGGACAGGAGCATCCGCACCCCCACAACAGCCATTTCCCCCCTTCCCCCCCCCCCTTCCCTTTTTTTTTTTTTTTTTTCCCCTCGCAGCTCAAACCCCACTGGACCGCATTAAAGCCCGGAGCACTCGGAGCCGGGCACAGCGCTCCTTCCACGCTCATTAATTAATTACCTGCAGGACCCAGGTCACCCCTCGCGGCGGTAATTCAGCCGCCTGGCGTGCAGCCAGCTGCAGCAGCCGCATCGATCCCCAGCGACCACAACAACCCCCGCTGCCCCCCCCTCCATCCCTTCACCCCACCCCCCCCCTACACACACACACAAGCTCTGCTATTTACAATCCTGCACTCTGACAGTTGGGAAATCAGATTGATGGACAGCGGGACGCCGCCGGTTGAGGTTCCAGGCGGGCTGGAGGGAAAAGAGGTTGAGGAAGGGGAGGAGGGGTGGAGGGAGGGTGTGTGTGTGTGTGGGAGGGGGAAGCAATTTAAAAAAAAAAAAAAGATTTCTAAATTATTAACGTTTTTTAAATTATTAATGGTATCGGTGCCTCCGTGTGAGCCGGCGGATAAACTGCGCTTTGTAGGGGCAGCAATAATTGATAGCTGCGGTGTGGAGCCCATCCAAAACGCACCGAGTTCTGTTTCTGCTCCCCAACGCTCAGGGTGACCCTTCCGCCAAGGAGAAAACTGAATCACAACCATTATATATATATACATACGTTGGGCTTTTAAGGTAATGAGCTCCTTTGGTGGGGGGAGAGGGGGGTGGCACTGGGGGGGTTCTGCCCCACGGAGCTCTGCACCTCTGCCATGGTGTGGGAACACTGATGAGCGAATTCTGACTCTCCAGCAACAGGAATCGCCTTCTTGCCCCCAGAGAAGCCAATCAAATCAAACAGAGTGGAAAAGAAGACAGCCTCTTCATTAACCTAACAAGGAGCCCTGGGGATTTGCGCTCCCAGACTGGAGATTCTCCTCCAGCTCCTGCTGGATGGATGGATAGATGGATGGATGGATGCTTTGCGGGTGCTGCTTGTGCTCCTTCCCCACAGCCCTGGCTGGGAACAGCAAAGGGGCTGTGGGTTTCTGCACAGCACCACTCGTCAGCAGTGCTCCTGCTCTCTGCTCCCAGGCTGGAGCGATGCTGTCACCTCCTGCCTCTCCTGCACTGCCAGATGCAGGGAGCTGGGTCCCAATCCATCCTCCCTGCAGCACAAGAGCCTGCAGCTTGCATGGGGATGCTGAGCTCCCAGGGGTGCTGAGTCCTCCCCAGGGTGGAACCTCCATCTGCCTGGTGCCCCCTTTAGGCACAGCACAGCATCGTGCAGCCACGCTGCATTCAAGCAGCTTTGTCCCCATCTGATGGCAAACCCAGCAGTGACCCTTCCTGTCACGCAGCACCCAACAGGCACTGCAGGGCTCTTCTCCCAGACAACACTGCCCCAGCTCAGGGCACACAGCAGGCATGGAATAAAGCAGGACCAGGGGTCCCCTGCTGTCCCTAAGCACCCAACTCCACCTCAGAGGAGCAGACCATCCTGGGAAAGGCTGCACCCAGCTCCTTGGTGCTGGAAGCTGCAACCTACGTGCAACCTGGGAAGCCCCCACTGGGTGGGCTGGGGACCAGAGTGAGCCCTGGGGATGCAAACACCATTAAGTTCAAGAGATGACGCCGTGCATGAACCCATCCCATTGACTGCAGCATTTCCCTGCTGAGCTGTCTTCACTGCATCTCAGCTACATCTACACATTTTAATTGTTTGTAAAGCCATAGGACACCTAACTCTCATTAAGGCAAAAGGTCGCCGACACCAATTTTTGCTGCACAAACTTCCTGAACCTCACACCGCCGATGCTTAACGACACCACATCCCAAAACCCATCAACAGAGAGCATCCCATGGCACCCCAACCAAACACAACAGACTGGGAGCATCCCAAAACTAACAAAACCCGAGCTCCCTACTGCAAACCCAAGCCCTACCTCCATGGCTGGGCACTGCCATGCTGTTGGCCAGCTGGTAGAGCCGCTGCTGCTGCTGCTCCTCAAACGTGCCGTGCTCGTTCAGCGCCGACATCATGCGCCTGTAGTGCTCCTCTGGGGTCATCTGAGTCACCGAGTCCTCCAGCAGAGGCGTGTGGGAGTTTTCTGAAGGAGAGAAACACGTTTGGTGTTGGGACGATCTCCCCTTAGCTCTAACATGGTGCAGAACCCAATGGGCCAAGCTGCCAAGGCTCAGAGTTGCCACCACGTGCGTGCCAATGGCCATGCTCACACACAGAAACACCTACGACTGCTGGAGCAAATGGTGGTTTTCAGCACAGGCAGCCTGTCACCCGAACACCAGGATGCAATCACACACCAGCCTGGACGACCACAGAACCACAGCATCATTCAGATCCCCACCCCACCGTGCCCACTCCACACCCCCCCCCAGTGCCACATCTCAGCACTGAGCACCCAACGATGGGAACCCCTCCACCCTCCCCAGGCAGCCCATGCTCACACGCTGCTGGTTTTGCACCTTTTTCCCCTTTGCCAGCCCTGATCCCCATGGCAGGCACTGAGGACAGCCAGGCAGTGCAGGAGCACACTGCTGCGGGTCCGTGCACGCAGCCCCACCACCCTGAGGCCAACATAATCACACCCAGGTTGGCAGCGAGGAGATGAAACCACAGCAGCTCTGTGTTTACTGTAAGCAATGCACAGTGATTACCTTTCTCCCCTCCGTGGTGGTTTTATCTCGGATCTCCCCCAGGGGCAAACCCTTCCCGTGATGGGGGAACTCCCAGCAGCAAGGTGGGCAGGGGGTGCAGGCAGGGGAACCACGGGACCCCCTACAACGTGCCCCCAGCCCCACACTGTGCCCCCGGTGCCAGGCAGACACGCTGCCTGATGCCTTCCCTTCACAGCTTGGGGATTTGTCACCCCCTCCCCCCATGCCCTGCCAGCCCTACATGCTCACATTTCCATACGAGATGCCAGAACGTTCTGCTCTGCTTGACAGCTACTGCTGCACCGCCAGGGCTCCTCCTGAGCATCCCAGGGGGAGGGAGGGATGATGGAGGGAGGGCTGCTGCCCCGTTGGGAGCACTCCCAGCCCTACAGGTTCTTTTCCCTGGGCCAGGGAAGGCTGGCCCGCTGGCTCTGTCTCTTTGCTATGACATGGGGTCACCTTCCAACAGTTGGGATCCCAAATCCTACATTGGCAGCCCACGGGGTCTGTGGCACAGGATGCAAAGACAATTCTAACCCCCCTTTACATGGCAGGGAGTGGGCAAATCGAGACTCAGAAAGCATGAAGTGCTCCATCCCTTCCCTTCCCCTCCATTCTGAGGCCCAGAACACCTGCCAAGGTGCCAAGGACTGCTGGGGAGCCCCCTGTGCTCGAGCACAAGACAAACCAGGGAACGCGGGGGCTGCCAGATAGCTCAGCTCAGACTTTCCACCCTGCCTTGCAAAGGGCAGGGAAGACTTCCTGAGAAAAGAAGTGGGAGTGGAAAGTTTGCTTGTATGCCAGCTTTCCTGGGAACCCCTCTCAGAACGAGTGGGGGAATCCCTGCCCGAATCACCCCGAGCATTTGGATCCTGAAAGCAAAGCCCAGGGCTGTGCTCAGCCCTGCAGGGGCAGTGGGAAGGCAGAGGATGGGACAGCACGGAACCACTGCCCCCATTGCAAAGCCATCCATCCACTGGACTCTTCCCAGGAGAATCCCAATGCAACAGCAAGAGGGCAGGTGGGTGACGAAAGGAGAAGCCAAGGGCAGCATACAGGGTTCCCTCTTTGCACCTCTCAGTGAAAAGCTGAGGTGCTTCTGGTTGGAACAGAGAGCACACAGGAGGTGGGCACGTGAAACAGAAGATGTGGCACGCTGCAAGAAGTGCCACGAGCATCCCGTAACGCGGGGAAAGGGAATCATCAGCAGAGAGGGACATCCCATCAAACCAGGCACCATCACCTACAATACATCCATGCACACCAGCACGTCAGGGTTTCAGCCTGCAGGACCCTCCCCATCCAAGAACACACCCCCAAAGGACCCGGCCCTGACAGCTCTCATTCCTTCCCACAGCCAAGAGAGTGCAGATGGGGTGGGCACTGCTGACAGCTCATTAGGCAGAACTTCACAACAAAGCCTGCAAGCCAGCGGCCTGCACGCCCTCGTTTAGGCAACCCGGAGACAAACTCATTAGCTGCAGGCTCCATTACTCTGCTGGCCGTCAAGAAAGTTTTCAAATCGCCTTTGCAGGAAGGAGCCGTGGAACAAATCAGATTTTTAAATCCCCTCTAAAAGAGAAACCTTCTGCAGATCACATGCCTGCAGGAACGCTGCCAGGCGAGCAGCCAGGCAGCCCCATCCTCCCCGCTCCCTTTAAGGGAGCAGATGCCAGCACGATAAGCCCCGCCGTATCTTTTATATTAAACACGTAATCAAGGCATTCTGCCTGAAGAGCAGACACCCCTCCAACCCACCGCAAAGCTGCAGCTTGCTCTGCAGACCGCAAAACCATCCTTCTAATTAAGAGGCGATTCCCCCCCCCCCTCGCCTCCCTGCTTAATGAGATAAAGCCCCCCCCAGCTGAATTAAGTTCAGAAAGGAGAAGAAAGGGGCGGAGGGAGGTGGCACTTACCCTTTGGGGACTCACTTCGGGCTTTCTTGCTCTCTAAAGGGCACTCACTGCTGCTGTTGGGTGAGCATACTCTTCTCTTGCCTAAAATGTCATCTAGGAGAGATGAGAGCTGGGTGTCAGAAGCTGCCCCGTGCACAAGCAGCCGGGGGGGGAGGTTTGCTGCTCTCCAACGCACGCTCACACATACTACAGGCAAAGGGAAAAGAAAAACCACCCCCCTCACCCCCAAAAAAGAAACAACAACAAAAAAAACCAAACCCTAAAGTAAGAAAAATCATCATCCCGAGAGCCGCGCTCTGCTTTCCTAATCACGCAGCCCCAAAGCGCGTAATGACTGCTGGAGCTCTGATCAATGCCACGCTCTCCAGCCATAAATCCCCAACCCGCCTCGTTTCCTTACTGAGTTTCATCGTTTGTTCTGCTGCCTTTTGTCCCCCCGGTGCTTCCACTCCTTTCATGCCCCGATGCAAAGCGACCGGGGAGGGAAAAAAAAAAAAAACAACACGCCAAAAGCACAACAGCTCCGCGAGTCTTCCCACCACCGTGTCTCTCTCTCTCCCTCTCTCTCTCTCTCTCTCTTCCCCCTCCTCCCTCCCTCTCTCTCCTCTTCAAAACCTCAAGGTCCTCTGCAATCTTTCCCTTCGGAAACGCTCGAGCCCTTTGCATTAGCACAGCCCCACGAACCAAATACCCAATACACAATTACAGCATCCCCAAACGGATTCCGAATCGATAGCCTCCCATAATAACGCCGGGGAAACTGAAAGCATGATGTTGCATATGGGCAGGAAGGAAGAGGCTGTTTGTCACTGCGAGCATCAAATCCTCATCTATCAAGGGCTTGTTAAAGATGCAGCATCTTCGGGAGGAGAGCTCACAAACAAGCAGCATCTGAGCCAGCACACAGAGCACCTGCAAGCAACGCTGCTGCAGTTTGCAGCGCGAGCTCGTTAGGGAAGGTAACACAGCCCCACGGTGCTATTTATGAGCAAGCAGATTCCAGGTGACATTGTGAGCCAAGCCAAGCGTCCTTCGTGCTCAGAGTCCCTGGGTGGGCCCAGGTGCTGCACTTCCCCTGGCACTGAGCACCATGCTGCAGCCCAGGAGCATCCCCAGCTCCGCACAGCTACAAGTGGCATCGCCTGGCTTCCAGCAGCATCAGGCTGCCCCCTGCACCACCCACCTGCTAGCACAGACAGCACTGAGCTGGCAGCACAGCCCCAATAATTGCCATAAAACAGCAGTAATGGGAGAACGGACGGAAGGATGGAGTTGGCCAGAGTTCACATCCCAGGTGCGGAGGCACGATTCAGCCTTGGCTGCCTTCCACATCCCATCAGTCCTCCTGCCTCAGTTTACCCTTGAAATAACTTCTCCCAGCCTGGCCAGCAAGCAGCAAACCCATGTGGGTTTTTTCTTTTCTTCCTTTTTTCCCACTTTTGCCTCCTGCCTTCCACAACAGCCCAATTGGGAAGGATGTTATCAGCAGGACTGCGCTGCTATCAGGGCAGGGTAGGTGACGCTGCCCACCCCCATGCAGATTGAGAAATGAAAATGCATTTTTTCCAGTCACTGTGCTCTGACAACAGGATCTGCGAGCCTAAGGCAGCTGGGCAGGCTGGAAGCTCAGCTCTAGGCTTCCCCACAGAGCATCATCAAACCCAACCCCAGGAGATGACAATTCCCAGAACCACACCACGATGCTTTGGCAGCAGCTCCGAAGGCTCAGTTCTCTCCAATCCCTCAGCACAACGTGAATGACAGCTCTGCAGGGACGCGAGGGATGTCCTTCCCCACCGGTATCAGAGCCCTTGGCTGCCCCCAGCAGCAGCCATGGGACGAGGGGCCAGGCAGGAGGAGCAGCACGCAGGTCCCAGCCCTTGCCAGCAGGGATCAATGGAACAAAGGCAGAGCGCAGCTCGAGGTCATGGGAAGAGCGGGCTGTCCTTTAACAGAGGGCAAGGAGGATGGAAATGGGAATGATTGGAGGGCCAGGCAAAGGGGAGCAATGGGTTTCTGCCACTTAGCAGCAGAACAAAGGCAGCATCCTCCAGCAGCAGGTCAGCTGGACGGCCCTGAGGACACGGCAGCAGCGGGCTTCAACTCCGCACTACTGCACCGTGTTCTCCCTGCGCTCCGTTCTCCTTCCACATCCATTTGTTGGCTGCTGTTTGAAGTTAGCTGCAAGCTGTCACTCTCAGACCCTTGCGTCACACAGCACAGACCCGTGTCACCATCTCAAGCAGAAAGCAGCAGGATTCCCAACGTGCAGCACATCCTCCATCCATCCCTAGGCTGGATCCCCCTTCTCAGCTCTCACTGGCCATCTGCCTCTCCTCCCACCATGCAGGCAGCATCCCGCTCCTTCTCACCTCCCCATGCCCAGCCCCAAAACCTGCTCCAGTATTTCCCTTCCCAAGGAAGGAAGCAGGGCTGAGCCATCCTCTGACCCGTCTGCAATGGGGCTGGTTAATAGGGAAGGCACACTCCTGTCCCCAGGTCTCCCAGCTCCCTGCAAAATTCCCTTTTACGGCGTGTACCGTGCCATAAAAAGGTGGTAAATATTCATAGTATGGAAAACACTCACGGAGAGGATATACTGCACTTAAGAGAGAGATCTGGATTCATTTTATATGCTGCAGAGAGGCTGTTTAGCAATTGCAAACTTGTGAATCCCCCCTTGCTTTTTGGAAGAGCTGCATGGAAGGAGGTCCAGGCGTGCTGGGGACCTGCTGGCTTTGCAGTGCCGTGCCCTCAGCACCATTTAAATGTCCAATTGCTCTCATCCAACCCCTGCAAAGCCCCGCTCCGCTGCAGCCCATGACAGCTCTGACAGCCAGACTCCTTAATTCCTTTTTCTTATTCCCTTAATCTGTCATCTTTATCAGGCTGAGGAAGTGCCAGGCAGCGTGCAGAAGCCCCGGCCCCGATCAATCTCCACATTACAGCTGACAGAATGGTGCTAATAACTTATTGATCCTATGTTTGCCAAGCCCCACTGGGGTGGGAAGGCTTCCATTGATTGGCTCCAAGGAAGGGGCTCTCAGCTGCCAGGGGGGAAAGCCATCCAACTGCCCTCTGCTGAGGAGCCTGGGGATGGAGGGAGGCTGGGAAGGGCCAACAGGAGGACATGGGAGTGGATTTGATGCACAGGAACCGACGCATCCCTATGCACATCCATAGCACCAGGGAGATGCCACTGTGCTGACAGTTTGTTTTCAGCTGCCTGTAAGACACCTGGGAGAGGAGGTGGAAGCAGAGGAGGTTATTTTTGGAAGCAGGATCATCTCGCTCTTCCCAGAGCTGCAAGGAAAGGGAGGAAAAGTCGCTGATTATATACAGCTGCTTGGGCTGCTGTGGTGAAACCTATTGCTGCGACCCTGCATGAAGGTGCCCCTGTCTAAAGCTATGCTGCAGCTGCACCTGCAGGGCACAGCAAGAGGGAACACCAGGCATTTCCACGCTGGGTTTTGCCATTTTTGCTTCATCTCCCAGCACCTTCACCTCCAAAGGATGCTGGGTGCCTCCTGCTGGGCTTCAGAAGAAATAAACAGGAACCTGAAGAAAGCACAAAGGGCAGACAACCCTCCAGACCTGAACGAGTGGCACAGCACAGACTCTTCCTAGGTGAGCAGCCGGCCTTCCTGCAAGCCAAGGTGCCTGGGCATCCAGCTCCCAGCTGTCCATTTGGTGACGATTTTCTGCTCAATTTAAGGCAACAATTCAATAGAGGCAGCTTGGCTGTTGTTGTTTTGCTTTGTTAAATGAAAACACGGCTGCATCCCAGCTCATTATGACACGCAGCCACTCGCTGGGATGCTGTCTCTTACCATTAGCCACAACATCCCTGGGTCCAACCCTTCCTCTCCCCTCCCCTGCAGATGAAAGCTCCAGGTTGGTGCCACGTGCAGCAGCCCCAAGGAAGGGGAGGCAGGCAGCTACACCAGCCACAAGTCCTCAAAGCCCCCGGACCCATTTTTAAATGCTAATCTGCTTCCATTCCCTCCCAAAACTTCTCCTCCTTCACCCCATTGAGTGGAAAGGTGCGACAGCAGTGTTAAAACAGAGGAACAAATAACCTTGGGGAGAGAAGAGAGAGAACCATGGAACACCCAGAGTTGGAAGGGACCCAGTCCAGGGTGCTTCTCTCAATTAAGACCCCCCTTTGAGGTACTTTTCCTTTCCTCCTCCATTTGGCATATTATATCCCCAACACAGATGCCATTTAGTGAGCACCAGAAGGGAAGGATAGAGCAGAAAACCCATGGGGACAAGGGAGGGGAGAGCATCCCCCCATCCCAGGTGAGCTGTGAGCATCACCCAATCATCGCAGCTCACCTCCAGGTCTCTCCACCCAGCCTTACTTTCAGCATCTCTGCTAGAGAGCTTCAATTTTAAATGATAATCTTCTACTGGGTTTTAAAAGAAGAGTCAGTTTCAGGGCAGAGCAGGAGGAGATGGATGGAAGCCCAATGCAGACACAACCCTGATGTCCAAAGAGGAGCTGGGTGTCATTTTAATCAAAGGGGAGCAGCAGAGAAGAGAGCTAAGTGCCCTTGCTCTACAACCCCAATCTGCACAAACAGAGGTCTAGCAAAGAAGCCAGGAAAGACGAGGCAGGAAGCAGAGCTCTGCCTGCCCTACCTTGGGCTGATTTGCCTCTCCATGCCCTGGCTCTTCTCATGCATCTCTACAACACACTCAGAGCAGCACAAGGCGTGCACCAGCAGCACAACCATCACCTGTCCCCTGTGAGCAGCAAGAACACCCTTCTCATTTCTGACTATAAATGCATTTTCCAGGCCATGCAGCTCTCAGCTTTGCTCATCCAGACTTCTGCAGATGCTCGAGGCCAACCCTGCAGAGCCCAGAACTAACAGATGCCATTCGTTCCCAGCAGTTTCAGTCCCTTTCCACACTGCAAAGAGCGTTCAAGACCCAGCAATAATTCTGCTTTCCCAGTCCACGCTGTTCAGAACTACAGCACTGCCTCCGATCGTGGACTCAACCATAAATCAAGCAGCTCTCACAGAATTCATCATAAACCAACCAACCCTGCTGACTTCGATCCTCTTCTTGGCCCCAAGGGCCCTGCAATAAACAAACCTCCTCCGTTTGCACTGCCCTCTGCTCAGCCCAAAAGCCACGTGCAGCCACATGAGGCTCCTCACCCTGCCCTGCACGCAAACCAGAAGTGGTGTGAGCATCAGTTCCAGCTCACGCTGCTGTCCTCACTGCCTCAGCTCTGCATTTCTTCCTTCTCCTGCAACGGGAGAACCTCACACGACAAATTCCAGCAGGTACAAATGAGGACCTCTGCCTCTCATCTTTGCTGCTGCTTAGCGAGAAGCACGCTTTGCATTTCTGGCATGTTAAGGATCTCAGAATTTCAGCAGCACTGATAAGGGCCAGCCGTGTCCCTGTGAAGCAAACGACATTAAAGACCATTTTAACACACGAGGTCAGCCGAGACACCCAGACACGAGGCAGGTCACAAGGAACAACTTATCTCCCCGGCCAGTTTGCCTCTCAGAGCTGTGTAATGAAGGGGAAAAGGAGATTCAGCCGTGCCAGCAAGGAGGGGGAGCTGCTGGGGCCGCTCTGCAGACAGCACAACCCCCCCGTGCAGCCCCAGCCAGGAGGGAGCCTCATGCAGGAGGAGAAGCAGGGAAGCCTCTGATTAATGAAATTACAAATCAAGCCACGCTCTTTGCAAGGCCTTTCTGCTTCACTCAATGCTGACCCCGGGGATGTTGCACTTTGCTGGCACGAGCTCCTCTGCAGCAGTTTAACACAGACTGCTGGACGTGAGGATAACGCAGGGCTGAGATCTCAAAACGCTGCAGCACTTCACATCCCCGAGAATTCCCTTCCACGTTCACTGCCACCCAAAACACCACGAAACCTCGCACAGCTCACTCTGAACAACAAAGAGCCACGGGAAAAATACAACAGAGCTGTCGCAAGGAATGCACAAATTTAGGGGTTGAAGGAGCAGGACTGGCTCCGACCGCTTACCTGCAGCTCCCAAGCCAACATCCACGCTGTTCCTCTTGAATTCACAGCGGCTCTGGGTCTCTGGCATAACGAGCTGGCGGCTCTGATGCAGGTTGGAGATGATAGTGGAGAGGTCGTTATCACGGCTGCAACAGAGCAGAAAAGCACCAAGTTAAGGAAATCCTATTTGCCGCCACGTAATTGATTTTCGCGTGCGGACGCCTGCGTGAGCAGCTCAGGTTTACCCCAACCTGGGGGGGGGGGGGGGGGGGTTTCTCCTTGGGATCCATTCCCAGATCCCCCCCCCCCCCCGGTTTGGGAGAGCAAAATGCTTCCCGTAAAGGGCTGAGCGGCCGCCAGCTGTCAGCTGTGCCAGATACACACAAGGTGCGTGGGCCGCGTGGATGGAAAAACTGAATTGGAGCTCCGTCCCCAGTGCTCATAGGAAACTTGAACGGAGAAAACTGATAGTTTTCTATCAGCTGCCATCCCTTCTATCCTCAAGAAGTAAGATTTTCCATTCCGGCGCTGCTGGAACGCACGGCTGTTTGCTTGGAAACTGCTCTTCTGTTCAGAGAGAAGCCCACCGTGGATGTGCACATGTGCAGCACTCAGAGCACATGCCATAGCTCTACCTGCAGAGCCCTCAGAGCACTAGCTGCTCCTCTCCTTGCATCAGAATGCTGAGGAGCTGGCTGCGTCCAACCAGTTTTGGCTTCCCCCCCTATGGAGAAGCACCCAAACTCAGAAAGGCGTTCACTGCAGCCAAGCTCTTGCAAAACACTCCTCCATAAATGCAAATAGAAGAGCTGCGAGCCTCCCCTTCCTCTCCAACGCTCGCCCTCCACCTCCCCAGCAGGGAGCTGCACCTCACCCATCTCCCTGCAGGAAGAAACCCAAGGGGGAGTGCAGCCCCCCCCCCCCCCAGCCCTACTCACGTGCCAAGCGTGCCCGCCCGGTGCTGCCACACACAGCACATGGCCACTGCTCCCACTGCAGGAGATGGCCTCACCTGGGAGCAGCAGGACTGCACGCAGGGTGCATGGTCTGCACTCGCCCAGCTCCCGCCTGCCCTTAAATATCCCCTTCTGATCCCCCTCTTTTCCCCCCCCTCTCCCCCCCCAGCCCACTCTCAGCACCAGATCTGCAGCCCCGGTGCACAAGCGGGGGCTAATCTGTCGTCTAGCTGCCAGCTAATCAGATAAGTTTAGGGCAGAAAGTCTTTCTAGACAGAGGTACTTTCCGCGGGCGTCTGGCTCCAGATTTTCACAGGGTGCAGCAGACAGGAGAGGTTCTCCAACCTGCTGCTCCCCCCGGCATCCTCAGGGATGCTCAAATCCCAAAGCTGCTGAGCACCCGGTGCGTCTTCCTCCGCTAAACCCGCACAGATTCCTCCTTATGCAAGCAGAAGGCTCATGACTTAAGCGAGCCCACAGGTGAGTGGGAAGCCCGTTTCTCCTTTGCCAAGCACTTTTGGGTCTTATCCTCTTTTAGCTGCCACCTTTAAGATGCATTATGCAAATGTTTTGGCGTCTTAAGTCATTTAGGGGATTAATGTGAAGTGATTATCAGTTCTTTTTAATCACGCCAATCAATAACTGGATGTCAGGGACAGAGGACAAATGCAGATAAACGCTGCCATCAGCACAACGCTCGGGAAGGGGTGGAGGAGAGGAGTGCAGGGGGAGAGAAAAAGAGGATCGTGACATCTTTGCAATGGCAGAGCATCCTGCATCCCAATGAGCACCTCTCGCAGGTGAGCACACCAACCTATTCCTTCCTATGGAAGGAAGGGGTTACTGCCTACACCGAAAAGCAGCTGCCTTCTACAGGGAAGGAAGCTACCTCAAATCTGAAGTTTTTATCCCCAAAAGCCACCTATGTTTTCAAGAGGTGTCCCATCACGTTTATCAACACCCCAGCACTGGCAGTACACTGAAGTCCTGACCCACGCCCAAGCAGGGCTGATGGCCATCCCAAAAAATGCACCTTTTCCCAATGGCTCCGCAGAGGACAAAGCTGACACAGAGGTGACATTGAGGGGAAAGGGACACAGAGCAGAGCACGTAGGATCAGACAGCTTTTAGCACATTGCAGCATCCCCAGGAGCAGCTCTGCAGCACTCGTGTGTGCTGGGAGCTCACTCTGCCATCCCCTGTCTGCTCAAGATAGAAAACTTGCAGCATTTTCACCAGCAATCCTCATAGACCTCCAATGAGCAAAGCCCAACTGACTGCTTTCATCCCAATGTCTTTTAAAAACAAATTAAGTAACCATATAAAAAAATCCAACCTTGAGGAAGTTTAACTTGGAACTGAATCTCAGTTCTCCAGGTGCCCCCTCTGTCCCCCTGCAGCTGGCAGAGCATCCTCCAGCTCAGTCCTGCCCCACACCAACCCATCCCCACTACCACCAGCCCTACACCACCAGCTCCACTTGCCATAAAACCCCCCAAAAACAGGGATTTCTCAACAAAAAGCAGCTCCTGGAAAAATTCCCCCCAGCACTCACCTCTGCCAAAAGCCAACTGCACACTGCCCAGTGCTGCCCCAACCACCTGCACTGATGCTCAACGAGCAGCACCTGGGCAGGGCTGGCCCTGCTGGCCAATGCTGGCCCTGGGGCAGCTCCCTCTGGCCAGCTGGGCCCTGATTGCTCCATCCTGCTCACCCTGGCTGCTGATAATTTGTGCTCCCATCCTTGCCTTGCTGGACTTGGTGATCTTGGTAGTGTTTTCCAACCTTAACCACAGAATCACACAATCGCAGACCCGTTTAGGTTGGAAAAGACCACCAAGATCCCCATATCCACGTCACAGTGAGCCTGTGTGTCACATCCCCACAGTTCCTGAGCACCCCCAGGGATGGTGACAGCCCTGGGAGCAGACTCATTTCAGCAACCTTGATGTGCACAGAACAGAGCAGCAGTGCACGCAGCCAGCACAGGACTGAAAACCCTTCCCTTGCAGGGAATGCAGTTTGCAGGATCCTATGATGCAAAACAGGAATACCAATGGACAGCAGCACCTGAAACCTGGCTGCTTGTCCTGGCAAGCATTAAGGCAGCACAAGACCAGCACCGAGGCTCCCCAGAAGGAAAAATGAAACAGGTGGGAGAGCATCACCCCTACAGCTCCGCTCCAGCACAGCCCCACAGGCAGGAGCCCCACTGAGGGGATTGCAAAGGGCCACGTGGAAGGATTTCCCCATCTGTGTGCACAAGGCTGTAATCCCCCCCAGGTGCTCACTTGCAGCCCAGCAGGGCACAGGGCTCTGCTCTCCTTTGTCTCGCTGCCGGGTGCTGCCGATGCAGGCTCCCCCCACCCATGCACAAACACACATGCACACACAATCAGATTAAAGGTCTGATCCCTTCCAGTAGCATAATATTATATTTTAAAAACCGGATTAGAGAAGGGGGCTTGAGCAAGATACACATCTCCCGAAAGGTCAAGGAGGAGACAAACAGCCCTTCTGTGGGGCTGCGGGTTGCCATGGCAATACTGGGTTTGCATGGGGTTTGGGTAATTAATGGTTTAGGGCCGTGGTGACACAGGTGTTTGTGAGCAGCAGAGGTGCACGCCCTGAGCAGGACAGCCTGGGCACTTCAGCTCCCTGAGCACTGCTGCAGGGAAAGGCTCTGGGCTCGCTGGGATGTGGCTCAGTGATGCTGACAGCTTCGTAACCCCTCATTTCTGGACGATGGGAGCTCTGTCTGCAGGTATCCCTGCTATGATGCACTCCTAGCACGAGCAGCCTCAGTCTGCAACGCTGAGCTTCACCCAGCCCTGCATCTGAGCAGTGAACCCAGCCTAGCTGAACTCCTTTTGTCACTTCCAATCACAGCTGACGTGCTGTTCCCTATCTGAACCCATCGTCCTGGTTCTGTGACACTGCACTGAGCAGCTGCACAGAGATTCAGGAAGGGTGGGGGTGGGAAAGGGACAAAAAGAAGCGAGTGCTGATGGCTGAGGAAGGAATGGGATGCTGTGCTCACCGGGATGTCCCTCCTGCTAAGAGCTAAGGGACAGGCAGCAGCGCTGGGGACACCTCTAAGGCCAACTCTGGCCAACCACAGCTTCACAGAGCTCACACTGAATTAACCTGAGGTCGCTGTCAGTGCCTCAGTGACCTTTACTGCTCTGCTCTGCAGAGCCTGAGAAGGGAACCATCCCACCAAACGTATTGTATGCCATACCTCTGCCTATTCTCCACTGCAAAGAACACCCCAGGCTGCTGCAAGCTGCCATCCCATGGGAACCCTGGCTTGCCACCAGGCTCTGCCTCGCTGCCAGGAAGGAGAAGGGGTTGGGTTATTACAAAAAGCTTGGGCAGTTTCCAAATCCTAATGAATGGGAGCAACAGATCCCCCCCTCCAGGAGCGCAGGGAAGCAGTGATGAAGGCTCTCCCTGCCCAGAAGCTCGCCGTGCATCACAGGGAAACGCAGCACTGAGACACGCTGCCAACTAATGGCTGCAAAAATTACCTCTGGAGGAAAAGAAACCGCCGCTAATGCTCTCTGTGAAGGCTCTGGCTGCTGTGCTGTGCTTAATGGCACTGCCTGGCCCTCTGTCTCCCCAGCACGGGTGGCTCTGATGAGGTTCTGTAATGGCACAGTAATGGGGCACCAGCAGTCACTCGATAGCTGCAGTGCTTCCAGGAACAGGCACTCATGAGGCTGTCAGAGCAGCTGCCTGTGTGGGGAGGTGCTCCCCACGGAGCCCCAGTGCAAACAGGGAAGGATGAGTCTATCAGATTCGCTATGCACAGCCATCCTCGTGGGGGTACCAATGGATCAGGAGGAGGCTGTGGGTACCAGACATGTCACCAGCTTCCGTGAGTGACTTCTGGGAACGACAGGGTCGGGTGGCCGGTTGTTTTGAGCAACATCTGCAACAGAACCCTCTGCCCAGCAGTGCTTGTGAAGTTAAGCAGGGGAGCGGGGAAAGATGGGGGGTGACCACAGCACCCTGGGGATGCTCAGCTGCTTCTGAGCCACGTTCGGGCTGCAAGCGACGCCTGCTAAATGTGTTTCACTTACGGAGATTAGCGGCGGCTGCATCTTTAACAAGGAGAAGGATGGGGAGACTAATGGATGGAGACAATTAACCAAAAGATAAATCAGTGTCGCAGTCCTCGCAGCCAG